GTTGCCGTTTGCTGTTCTCGTTGCCGTTGCTGCCATTGTTGTCGTTGCTGTTCTTGTTGCCGTTGCTGCTCTCGTTGCCGTTGCTGCCATTGCTGCCGTTGCTGTTCTCGTTGCCGTTGCTGCTCTCGTCGCCGTTGCTGCTCTCGTTGCCGTTGCTGCTCTCGTTGCCGTAGCTGCCGTTGTTGCTGTAGTTGCTGTTGCTGCTGTCGTTGCCGTTGCTGCCGTTGTTGTTCTAGTTGCTGTCGTTGCCGTTGCTCCCGCTGTTGCTGTAATTGTTGTCGTTGCCGTTGCCGTTGCTGCCGCTGTTGTTGTTGCTGTTGCTGCCTTTGTTGCTGTTGCAAGAAGGTCCGAGACCTAGTGGTAGTAGTAGTAGTAGCAGTTCGTGCCGTTGTAGTCCGCGTTGTACTTCGACTCGTTGTTAACCTGAAATTGTTTAAGCAATGCTTTATATCATACTGTCCGTTAGCATAATATTTTATAGTTTCAATAACTGACCTGATCTTCAAATATTTCGTTGAAGATAATTACGAAATTTATTCATATTTTATATATGCATATTTGAAATCCATAAGCAACGAAGTACTTTTTCGAGCTTGCAAGAAACTTAAACTAAGATTTTGTTTTGTAGATAAATTCAAAGTGCAATGTTAGTTTATGGTGCAAGCTTTTTAAATATTTCTTTTTGACTGTTAAGTGAATAAGCATAGTGATATAGTGCAAATGCCAGCCGTATAGCAGTATAAATTGTACGCAAGCACTGTCGCTGTGGAAAAAGTTGAGAATACATGCTGAAATACAAATCTCCAAGTTCACGCATGACTGAGTGTATTACCAATTTTAGATCTCACACTTATCACTCCAGAGATTCAGAAATGATAACTATTATTATCGTTGTAATTACGATTATCCCTGATTACTTATAATTTTCGCTACAAGATGATGATTTTGAATACCAAAGTGGATATAACTGCACAACAATATTTAAAGCAAACGATCCGAATAATCCGTGCGAGCGTAAAAGATTGGCTAAACAGTTGGCACGAGTAGTTGATATTTATTTTGTCGCCTACTGACTTTATTTTTAAAAACATTTAAGCGCAACATATTTTCCATAAGAAATTTAGAGCGCAATAAAATAGGTGGGAGCTGTTAATTACGCGAGTCTTTTCTTTCATCAAATAATGATTTCTTTCATGAATTTTTAATCTCATACACAAAGTTTTCATTAAAAAGAGAAAGTTAACCTTTGACTGACTGGCTTAACAGTCAGCGCTTCTGGTCTTTGCAGAGCAGATCGTTGAAAACTATTGGAAAACTTAGCAGAAAATGGCCCATAAGGTTCAACATACTTTTGTCTGGGGGAAGGTGTTGACCAACTTGGCATTTTACGAGTAATAATTGGTACCTGAAAGCTGTTTGTCTGTAACTTTGCTATTCCACTCATTACTTTATCCATTTACTATAACGTCAATAAACAAATTAGCTAAATAACTGCGCCAGTTCACTGAGGTAAATGATTCCGCTTTTCATGAGAAACATACGCTTGTTCGTCCAGCATTTTTGCCGTTTTTGTGTAGAACAAATGTTGGCAGATAAGGCACTAATTCATCGTATATATCGTTTTTATCAGCCAATTTTTTGAGATCGTCTTCGAAATTATAATCATATGGTTTCGGATTGCTAAACTGTGTCTCGTCCAGCAATTTTTTTTCTGTAAATTGTTTGAATTATTTTCAAAAAAATTCACAAGTAAATCAAAATATCTTTAGTACCACACAATTGTTTCCCTCTGACCTGGCATCTCCTTAACCTGCCTAGGACACACTGAAAAAAAAACAAAAAAGAGAGAGAGAAGGAGAAGGAAGAAAGCTTTGCACATTATTTAATTATCCTTCATATTAGCTACCGCTTTGGATTCTAGTAAGAAACCAAGCGGTGAAGTCCAAAATAGAATGGTCCAAGTAATGGAATTCAAAACTAAGACCCAAGATGTACTAAAAACTGGTGTACCAAGAAGCGGTGAACAGTGTCGAGCAAATTTATGTTTATCCTTAATAAATGTTAATACTGTTGTTTTATAGGAACTTCCTGATGGTCGAATTGGATTACTTTTTAAAATAAATAAAAAAGTAAAAGAGTGGAAAAAAGGAAAAGCATTTGCTATCGGTTTATTGCGAGGTTGCGAACTCTACATCAAGAGCTGCAGAGGTAAGAATAAAAGTTATAAGTGATTTTTGCTATCTTTCCTTGAACAGTCAAAATGAGGCAATTTTTTTTAAACCAAAAATATGTATGGTCCGCGAAGAAATTTCCGGTGATGTTCAAGCTGTGAATTGAATTTTGTGGAAAAATTCCAACCGATTTTCAAGTAAAATTTACTGACAATTTAATCTTATAATTTCTGCAATGACTTTATGGAAATTTTTATTCTGCAGAAGTTCATTTCAATAGTTGAATCTCCCATGCACGAAAGTATGCAAAGAAAATACAAAGTTGCTGTTAAGTATAAATCATAAATTTATTGAAGTGGCATTTGAAGTTACGGATTTGATATTCGGAAATGCGCTAAGTTAGATGATGAGAAAAGAGTTGGGTAAGGAAACACATCGTTCTACGTAGATTAAATAGCGTAGGACCACTGACATCTCTACACACTTTGAATTTTATTTTATGGTTGTGATCTGAATTTGTATGAGAGAACTTTGCATGAGCACGTAGCATTTGATAGCCAAGCCAACAAAATATTTTTTACTCAAATTGAAGTTTTCTCAAAATTAAAATTTTCATACATTCGTAATTAGCACTTAAAAACCAACGGTGGACGTACTCACTGACCGAACAGGCAAGTCAAATGGATAATCATCAATAAAAGCTTACCTATTTGATAGATTTCACCTTCGGCAGCCGCCTTCGATGTTTTTGCAATGGAAAAAATAAGAAGCGCTATAAGTGAATGAGGCGATGATGACCTCCAGTGCTGTTTCCATGAAATTATATTTTGCATCTTTCTTATTTTTATCAATAGTAACCTGAATACAAACACTAATAAGTTTTTTTCAATGTTCCATATCAATCAGAGGTTTAGAGAGCTTTAGTGCAGGTCTAATCATAGAAACAACAACTATAAACAGCAAAAATTTCAAAATCAAAAGAGAACAAAAATGAATTTAATTGAATTAATGATAAATCAAAGATGGAGTTGCTCTGGAAATGAACCAAATAGCGTGATTTCTCGAACTGCTTCTTGAAATCAACGCTACTTAACCATAAGACTAAAATAAAATGTGATTACCTACATATATTGCAAGACATGGAATAAATGAAGTGATGAATTGTTATTATGTTTAAACAAAGAATTAAAACATTTGCTAATTGTTATAATAGATCAATTATAACTATTTTGTGGCTATAACCATTATTATAATTAATGAAATATGAATAATACCGTGTATTTATCACACTATATATTTCTTCAATCTGGATCAATTAATAATAATGTTATGATTCTCTTTCAATAAAATATAAGAAATTATTATTTGTGAGTGGACAAGCGGTAATATGAAAATGAAGATGATTTCATGATTTCAGAGTTGCGCAAGTCACAGGATAAAATGCGAGGACGATTCTTTATTTAAAGGTTACAGGAAGGATAGAAGCCATGATATAAGAAATAATCATTCAATAAATTTTATTTAATCTGATCAGAAAGGTAAATTCGGAATTTGGAACAAGGATAAGAAATGATGATTTTTATTAAGATATTGTGAAGAATAATTAAGGAATTGGTTACTAGTTTGAAATATGCAAAATGTTAGGTGAAAAGTGAACTTATAAACAATAATTTAATTCATTTATGAATAACTATTACAACAATTATCTTGTTAGAAGTTTTGTCACGCTTTTTTGTCATGCTTTTTGTAAAAAGAATCTCTATATTTGGATAAAATTGAAATGACTGTGCAAAAATGAATCACAATAAGTTTACAGAAGGAAGGTAGAAAAAAACGCTCCAAATCTAGTATTTCCTGAATTTTACATACTTCGAACTGAATCTCTTATTCAAATTCTCATCTTTCGTATAAAGACTATTCCGGAGCAGGAGTTGAGTCAGAAATGCCATGTGGTAGTAGGTGACTTGTGGTTCCAATCCGACTTGTGTTTCCGATTCTGATTTCAATCCATTATTTACTTCAACTCGATAAGCTTCTGCTTTTAAGGCTAATTTCAGATAAACAGTCTGAATAATTTCCATACTGAACTAATAAAGGATAAATGAAAATTTAAAGCACTAGATCTCTAAAATTAGTGAAAATGATATGCAATTTAATTGTCCTAGAATGGCTGATCACTGTACAAGATATTATGTACACAGCATAGTTGAATAAGTATTTCAAGTAATGTTTGGATTTGAAAAATCTTTTGGACCAAAATATCTAAATTTTCTGATTTCAGAAAATTGCTGTTTTGGTATTGAGCAGGTTGAGATATCGTAATATTTATACATTGTTAATGATAATGCATTGAATTTGCATAAATCAATCGAAATACAACAATAGGAACCCATTAAAATCACTGAAACTTATGAAAAATCAAGTACACTTGCGATAAATACGAAGAATTCTCGACTTCAGAACTACAATAATGCACAAAGAGAACGTATGGAGTAGCCAAGGTCCGTATGTCCATCATATTGCTAAGAGAGACAAGCGCAAGTTGATCTCACAAAAAATTGCTTTATTGTTGTGACATAGATACTGAGAAATTATGATAATGTTGTACATTTTTATCTTTTTTCTTTTGTCATTACACGTTTCCAACTTACTTCTCTCTTTCTTTTCCAGTCTTTCGTTTACAACATTTTATTATGTAGAATAATTATCACCAAATGAGAGAAATCCCAAATCGTCATTTAGTTCTTATTTGACAATATGTTGCTAAAATATTTACTACTCCTCTTTTCCACGAAGAAATCCTTTCTGAATGACTGTTTTTTTTTTTCACTTCCAGTTTCAACTAATGCAAAAGTTTCGGAAATCATGTGCTTCCTTTAACTGTTACACATATTAATTAGGGAAAAATGGTTGAAAATTCTTTTCAACTAATTTTCTTTTGGTCTCGAATTAAAAATTTTGCTTAATCACTGAACTTTCTGAATTTGTTATCTTCTGTTATAATTCTTAAGATGAATTATCTTTTATTATCAGATAAACTTATATACCAAAATCTATCGATTTATTATACTGTTCTTATTATTATGTCACTCGAAAGATAATTCACCTCAATCGCAGTAAATGATGATCAGATGGGTATCAATCATATTAAATTTTAAAGAACCGCGAAATACTAATTGCATTGGTTAAAGAGAATGGCAGAAAATTTCAAAAAATGATAATATGGAAAGGACTCTTATCAATTTACAAATTGGGAAAAATGACTTTGAAGCGATATTGTTTGTAAAGTGAAATTATTGACATTTATAAGAAATGTAATAAAATAAGGTTGTGAAATTGACCATAACTTAATTGGAATGAAATGGAATTATTAGAAGAATTGTAGGTAGAGAGTTTCAAGATAACTTATTTTGCACCAATTTGATAAATAAATAAAGTATGATTAAAAAAGAAAAGCTTAAAAAATCTTTTTAATAAAATTACATTCATTAATCAAATGATAGTTCTGAAAGAATTTTAGGGAAATAAAATTTGATTGAATTATATCTGTTAAACAATTAAACCTATCGGATAAATACTGTATTTGTAGTTTCGCAATGATGAAAAATTCATTTTTTGTTTTGTTCAAAGCGATGGTTTTGCTCAGAAAGCATTATTAAACAATTTACATACAAAGTTTTCATACCTTTGCCGAATACCTTAAATCTTATCTTCTATCCACTGTTTAGATATCATCAAATAATGATCTGTGTTGTTCCCTTTGAGTATATCATGATAATGATTTTTTAAGCATAAATCGAGAAGAAATACATTTGTATGAAATGATAGGAAGGTTGGAAAAAGGTTTTAAGTGAAAGACTTGCCAGAGTGAATTAAGGAATTAACTTTGCAAAATGATGGATAATAACTGGTGGTATGAAAACAACCAACGCAAATTCAGAAGTAAGGGAACACATTAAGAGACCTATTGATTGAGATCACAATTTCATCAAGATCTGGGAATTAATCTGATCAACGCTGGAAATTGATAGCTTAACTACTGTGAATCAGAAACAGAAACAAAAAGAAAATATAAGCCAATCTTTGTTGAATCGATAATGAAAGCCAGTGGTATTGCAAGTGATTATACTGATAATTGTTTATCTTCGTTATCATCAAAAATTCAGTTGGAGTGAACAATTTAAACCGTTTGTTAATTAGTTCATTAAAATAAACAACGAGATAAGCGTGAATGATAGGGCTAGTTGGACGACTGGTTTGTTGATTGGCTGATTGGTCGTTTGGATGGGGATAATAGAATGATATTTATTTGCAAAATTCGACAATTCGGTGTAACTGACAATGTCAGCGTTTACCAAAGAAAAAAAAACTTCTCAAATTCGCACTTTGGAAATGAAATGAATAAAAATCATGGGGAAGATCGGACGAGAGCGCTACAAACTGGATCGTTTCGCTCTTCTCTCGTCTTCTGCTGTGATTAATTACGATGAGCGATCCAACGTTGGCTACCTTTTTAAAAATCTTAAACCCATGGCTGCAATTTCCATTGCATGCTATCGGCATATATACATGATTTTCGATGTGCGGTCGACCTATTCACATATATACGACATTTTTTGTTTGCATCAGAAGCGACTAAAGAAGAATGGGCAGAAAGGTTTCTTTCTGCTCTATTACAATACTTCATTATTTGCAGTTTACAATCACGCTAAGTTCGAACTTCAGCAGCATATTCGATGTTTTTGCACGATATGGCATAAGATAGTGCTGGTTTACTAATATCTCATTTAATTTCGTATAGCTTTTATTAACTCTGAGTGATTGCAAATTGTAAATAGTTGAACATTATGAAAACATTAAGGAGCTTTTTCATTATTCTCCTTTACTCCTAATAAGCTTCTACCGTAGCTTTCTTTCTATCCTACCGTAGCCATATCATGAGCATCTCTCTCAGAACACATTTACTTAAATATCAAACTTCGTATCTAAATTCATTTAGAAAAGAATGTAGGAGAAAGTTGTAAAGGGAGAGACCTCTTGTCATTCATTTGTGAATTTATCTTTTATTATATTCTAACCGACTCTGTGATGTCCATTCATTTTCATAATCCTGCGGCATTTTCCTCAGTGGAGGAGAATGATCTGTGATCGACTACAGAAAGAAACTAACTTTTCTGGAACTAGAACATAGAAGTATCTCATTTTCAAAATACTTCTGCTGCTATTTCATTTGCCTGCAGTATTTCAGATTTCTAGGATAATATAAATGTTTAAGTCGAAAAAAGACTAAAGAAAACATTCAACGGGCATAAATGAAGGAATGGATTAAACGGAAAAATCTACACCCATCTTCCGGAAAAACCATGCATTAGCTTTTTTTTACTTCTGAAACTATTATTTTTTAATTCAATTTTCAAGCTAACTTAAGCTAAATTATAGTTAATTTTGACTACTTATAAAAGCAGTCATTGCATGAAAGCACTTAAAATAAGAGAACCTAATAAGAAAAACAAAAAATGGAAGCCAAACGTGCTTCAGAAGAAAGCAAGGGACATTTGGTATTCCCAGTTCTGACAAAATGACGTTCTAATCATTCTAGTAAGTTCTCACAACTTAGACGCATCGCTGTGGGTAGATCTGTTGGTTAGTATACTGAAACAATTAAGCATTTAGTACCATTCACAAAGTGCAAGAGAAATTGAAGGTGGGAAGGTATAAGAGTAGCTTTCGCATAGTACCACATTGTGACACAAATATTCCCTCTTCTATTAAAAATTTTTTTTTGTGTGTTGCAGTAATTGGAAGTTTTAAAAAGTTTCTCTATTATTGAAAAATTAATTTTAAATAGACGAGAAATTCAAATAGACATCTATCTTATTGTGCCAATCAGTAATTCTCAGAAAAGAGATGGAGTAGACTCGCAATAATATCACAGCAGGGGACAAGTAGAAGTCATGAGAAACGTGCAAAAACCCTTTTAGATTTTTAAACAAAGCACAAAGCAAAGATGACCAATATCGAAACATCAATTGGTTCATTACGTTCCCGAAAGAGGGGGTAAAAACCACCTTTTATGTGGCGGTATAATTAATTCCTTCAATATTTCGTATCCCAATCTTTCACAGCGTCCTTAGGCGTCTTATACATCACTTGATTTTCCGAGTTTTTAAAAGATCATAATAATGAAGAAAATGTGACTCCCTAAACTAGGCCTTAAAAATTATTTTTATATTTGGCGCTCACATTTCAAAACTTTACATGAATCCCAATTTGCTCACTATTCGATCAAAAATTTTATTTCAGAATAAAACATTCAACGAAGAGAATAGTGAATGGCACAGACCCATGCACCAATACGGTTAAATTGTTGGTTTCAAAACCAAACACCTCTCACTTCCTTTCTTCATCTACAGCGTCAGCACTTCGTTATTTTTTTTTTCAGCTATTAATCGTCTCATAATGTATCGTTAAAATTCCATCGCTTCTATAAAAATCAAATTTTTTTCGGAGTAACGGCATGGAAAACCAGCTCCCTTGAAATTCACTTGCACTTAACTTCCCTCATTTTTCACTGAAAGATTCTTGCTGCATTCCATGAAAAGTAAAATTAAAATGTCACAGTACTCAATTGGTTCTTTAAACCTGTTTGACAACTACAGCTAAAAATGTTATAAACTTTTCTTTTTTTTTGAACTAATATGATTAATACATTGAATCTTATCACAAGACAAATGCATAAAGTTAGATAAAAATCGTTCATATTACAATATTTTTTCCTTTCTTGGTTAAAATCCAAGAATGTTCACAATGATAAAATTCAACTGAAAGTATTATACAAAGTTGTACTTATCTTGAAAGTAATGGAAAGCATTATTTATATTTGGAGCATTCCAAATAAGCCATTTCTTTTGTGATAATGATTGTTGAATTTTGAATTAATTCCAACTGATCCGGAATGAATAACCGTTTTTGCAATTCAGTGCTGATATTATGCATTTTAATAGCACTGTAAAAGGTGCACTTTTAGACTTGAATCATCCTCTGACGGATATTACTGAGAAGAATAAAAACATTTTTGTTGGCTAAAAAGAAGTTGTCATTTGCTTTGTACCGAAACCAGCAATGAAGCCAGAATTCATTTTTGGAGTAAGGTAATGAGGCAAATTTTATTCGTTCATCAATGAAAATGATTAATTATGATAATAAAATTTTCGAATTAATTTTTGATTAAAATTCGTTGAGTTAGCAAATTTCTTTGCGCCAACTAATTTAACACACATAGGGAGAGAATAGAAAAAAAGCCTTCGCTAATGAATTAAAAAAAAAAAAAACAGTAAAGAAAAATTTAAAGATACGAATACTGAAGATGTTGTTAGAGAAGGACATTGATATCATCGTTCAGAATGAAAAAGGAAACAACTCTTGCATGAAAAGAAAAGAAAGAAGCCGCGTGCTTAAAATTGGTTTCAGGTAATGTTGAACTTGGTAATACCCGAAGGTTTCCCACATTCGTGTCAGAATTTCAACGATGCAAAAAAACTGTCATGCAAAAAATATATTTCTGGTTTTTGAATGATAAGATCAAGCGTTTCAATCATTACCACAACTTATTCCACTAAAACACTACGCGATAAACCAAATAAATTTCTTCAATTACCCTCAGAAATACTGGGTAATCTCTTTCTTGTTAGCCTTAAATCAAAATCTGAAAGTAAAGAAACTTTATCGACTTAACAGCAATAAAGGTATTCGTCTCATGAAATGATCGTTTTAAACCATGTAATTAAATCGAAGTTGAAATGATGAATGTTGTGCAGTAATTATTGTATTAATTCTAATTAATTTGTCATTTTGTTTGGGAACTTAAAAAAATGGCACAAAGTTTTGTTTTAAATCTGAAACTTATCTCTACACAATAAAAAATTGACTGTTGCAGAAAATTTAATAACATATTATGATAGCTTCTTCGCAGAAATGTTTTTTTTAAATTTTTTATGCGATAATATCCGGTCGAGATCGAAATTGGGAGTTTATAATGATGTTGTAAAGTTCGATTGAGACATGTAAATAAAATTGAAGCGAACTTTAAATCATCTTTTACTCCTTCACAGCTCATTCATTTTATCCGTCGTTTCCATTCCATACCATTGTTGACAGTTGAACATAACGAATAATTAGATGAAAAATGTAAGTGAAGAAGAGGCGGAGGTGAGATTGTAACTCATTCCTGAAATGAAGGTCATAAGAACCTTTCTCGAAATTAGTATTTGACATACTCCAATTTGTCCATGTCTTTCCATATGATCCTTTTACTCTCTTGTTATCTCCATCTTTGTTAATCATACCGATCATGTTTCCAGAAATTTCAAAATTATCAGGGAAAATTTCATGTTTGTTGTGCTATTATCATTATCATTGCTCTTCCTGTATACTGTCATTGCTATATAAGTTATTTATACTGTCACATAGCTTCATCTTGTCATTATCATCAGTTCCATCCGACTCATTTATTGTGTGAGATGGCGCATTTCGTTCAGAATTAATACAAAACTTTTCATTATATTTTCCATTCTTTTTTTTAACAAATTAAAGTGTTTAATTTATTTGTTTAAACAACAAGTGTCCTTTTCTATTGTTTATTCATTAAAGCTTTACCTAGCTTTCAATTTCAAAGCATTTTTGTGCCTAATTTTCGGTTGTTTGACAAGCAGAAAATGAAGTTAAACTTTTGAATGCTTTCTGAAACACTGAAGACATGGAGAGAACAGCTTCTGTACCAACTATCATCCTTAGTCATCAAGTAATTGTTTGCTGTACAATTATTTATTACCTGTGCAAGGTGTATCTAAGAATCGATAACTGTCTACTGTGTGCATAAAGTACAAATGTGTACAAAGTCAGTTGTATAAAATACAAGTAATATGCAGAAGAATAAGTTCACAATGATACCGATGATAAAGAAATGGTGATCTTGAAATGCAGGCTCGTCGATTTTATAATTTTGAAGAGTATGCAATGGTTCGGTGGCTGTAAGTCCTTTAAGCACTCATGAAATATTCCGATTTTTCTTGGAATTAAGGATTTTGTTGGATTGTTGATGGAAATTGACATCGGGAAGCGCCAATTTTAGGTTTAAAAACTGAATGTAGTAAAACTTCAGAGTAATTTAGAATGTCCTGGAATCTGACTAACAATCTGCAACATTTACGTGATATGTAAATAGTAAGTATTGATGGGAGAGTCAACATTATAAATGATATAATTTGAGCAATTAAATGGCAGTACTGTAACAAGAAGGAAAATATTGAGATCTAAAAAAATTTTGTGCAATATTGGTAAACTCGTCATTTTAATTAGTGGAAGTTTGTCACTCTAGTTTGGTACATTCTAAAGCATTTCAAAAGACCAATAAGACGGTTAATATTAATTAAATGTAGAATTGTGAATAGCTAATCAAATGGATGAGTAAACGATTGGTAGGGAAACTCAACAAGGAGTGTATTGAAAGGTAACTTTTCACTATAAATTTCACTGCCACTGCAAAGTGCATGCATAACATGAATGACCAATGACCAATGACCAAACTAGTGAACAAAAATGAATGTAAATTCCACATAATTTATATGCATTTACATCTATGTTGTCGCAAATCAATCTGTAAGCAACTTGTGTATTTTATTCATTGAGTATGGTGGGTAAGAGAAAAAAAGGGCCGCTGCGATGAATGACCATTAGGATTGGACTCACTGAGAACGTCCAAAGGTCTATTTTGGCTGTTGCTTGAATTTAGGACCAATTTTGCTAGCTCTTCTTCTACCGAATAGAATGACTTTTGGACGAAAATAGAAGTGGAGAAATCGATGTTATATTTTGTAAGAAAAATGAAATCAAAATTGAGTGAGTGTGGTGCAGTAAAGCAGAAAAGGGAAATTCATATTTAAAGCGATGGTTGGAGCGGAAGAGAACGACATCCATCTCTATTGCTCATCTCTCATCTTTTGTTTCGACTTTTCCTAATTATTGATCTATATCTTTTCAGCCAAATTCAGAAATGATCAGAAGACTGATTGTTTGAAATGTTTTTTTCATTTTACTTATATTATATTGGTACTTTACTTTAACTCTTTGGAACTTGTTTACTGTTTTGCTTTGATTCCAGTAAGTTATATTTTCCATCAATATTTATGTGAATCTTCTTGAATGCCAACTATCGAACTACCCCTGGGAAGAATGATAATTGTTTGTTCAGATTTTTCCAATTCCAATTTAATTTCCTATTCAAAAATTGTTTTTGCTTTTCTTTGTATTCAACTATAAATAGTGTAAAGCGATTTAATTTGCTAATCATATCAACAGATCTCGCATGTATTGATCACGAAATTCACATTCGTCCTGACTTTAGTTGGTTTAAAGTTTTTCAGGTTAGTATATTAGTCCAGCTATATGTGTCATTTAGTAAAGCGAATTAGTCGAACAAGAAGAACTGAGGAAGGAAGAGAATCAAATTTGCGGAAAATTGTATTTTACCCAGAAAGAGGTGTTCATCGATATGAAGAGGGAGGGATGCGGGGAATGCGGCAGCACACGACAGGTGGTCCTGATGGGTCGATCGAATTACTGGGAGATAGGATAGATGACATAATGAAGGTCATTTTGAACCAATGTGAAATTTTTTCATTAATGCTTGATGGGAAATTGGAGTAGTGTGGTGCCACTATAAATGGTCAGTCATCTTGTCATCTTGACATGCCTGTTGATAAAAGGAGTTGCCTTGGAGCAACGAGACGGCATAGCTATGAAGTTTTTGGCTGAAGTGAGTTTCAGGAAGTAAAGGTAGTAATAGCGTAATATATATGTAATACTTCATCCTAAGCTTATCCTCCTAATTTTTCTTCCTTTTATTGTTCAAAATGAAGATTAAAACACAATCCTGAGACGAACCTGTTTATAATTACCTATATTTTAATATTTCAAAAAACATTGAATATTCTCTACAAGTGTTGCGTGTACGCTCATATTGTTTATGCTTTTTTTAAACTGACTTTTTAGAGCTAAAGATCACTATTCATGATCTTCTACTACTTCCTAAATGATTATCAGATTTTTATGGTCCTTTAACGCGGCGACCTTTTCTATAATCCAGGTCAGATATCTCTTTTTACTCAAAACAATAATTAGTACTTTGTCCTTCTCTTATCATATCAGTCTGTATTGTTGTCTGTCTCTCAATATTAAACATCTGGTTTAGAAGGACTTTATAGCGGAATTACTACAAGAGAATATGCATATATCGTTATTGTCGTTTATTTGTTTCCCTCAGCTTACAATATATTTCAGGTGTCGGGTTTAACATCCGGTGAATCTCGTCCCAAGACCTAAACATAATAAGGTAGTACAGAAATGTCGGGTCATTTTACTACTTTTTTTTTTTTTTCTCAGCATTTCTGTGCTACCTTATTATTTTAAAAAGAAACCAAAAGGAAAGAAAAACAAAGGAAAATATGGTGCAAAGGAACCGTTATCAGAGTTTCTAATGGCCCATCAAATATTTCAAGCCTTACTGTTCAGTAAGACATCCATAGCTTTCTAATTAAATAAATTATTAGTATTGGTATTACTTGATGTTTTTAAAATCATCACTTTTAATACTATTCCAATCATTGTCATGTTTATTTCCCCCCTTTGAAAGCTCTAAATTTATCACATTTATTCAGACCTCAGTACTGTCTGCAACATTCTTTCCATTCTTTGCACGGATACATTCCCAAAATTCATTCCACAGTACTCTCAAACGTATCTTTCTGCAATGTTTCAGATCAAATTTTTAGATTTTCAAAAAGTTTGCTCATATCCAACCATCAAATATTCCGTTTGATTTACGCATACTTTGACTATTTTCCAACAAATGGTGCATGGAATTTTGGTAGGATTCTTTGCTATTTATAAATCCAACAATCGATTTAGTTATCCATCTGTCTGTATTTTCCTTTTTCCTTCATGACCTTCAAATCTCACCACAAATAGCTGGAATTTTACATTCGGACGTTAATTTACATTCGGTTAACTCTATCATATAGCGCAGCAAGTTGAGGGAACGGGGTTGCTAAAGGGACTTAAAGTTTTGGCTCATGTGTCGTGCTTCAAAGGCTTCCCTTGGCTTACCAATACATTGGTCACATCACTCAATTTGCTTTGTTCATAGACGATAGCTATGAGAGTCACCGATGGCCCTGTCGTAATGTGATTTTCATATGTATATCCATTTCAACGATACCTCCGTGTCTGTCATCCACTGGTCTGTCTGTTCGTCTGTCCCTTCCTTTCCTTCCTTTTCCCAACAAGATCCAATTTAATCACCATTTCCAATCAGATAGACCGAATGGGAAAAGGGTGGAGGTGAGATCACTGGCGATTCGTCTCTTCCCGTCACCTCTCCCCAATCTTGGCCCTTCCCAGGCCCACCACGCAATGACTCATCACCAGATGCAGCAGCAGTAGCAAGCAAAAGCCAAGCTGTAAAACCATCAGATAGCTAAATGTCCTTATCAAGATTTCTATTATATTTTAAATTTCTGCGCTTGTACATCACTCTGTCCAACATTAAGACAAACATATCCAAAGATTAGAAATAATTTATAATATATTTAGGGATTTTCAAAATTAAATGCGTAATAGTTAGTCTAGCTTGAAATCACAGTTTTGTATGAGCAATTATATGTATTTCCTGTGTTTCACTCGTTGAAACCCTTTACGTATTGTAAAAGTCGCTTAGTGAACTTAATCAGGAAGCAGTCATCAAGTAAAAATATAAGATGTCATCTGTAATTCAAATATTTGATTATTAAATCATAAATGATCTGAATCAGGACCTTTGGGTTCGACATGTCTTTGGATCAATTTTATCATTTCGATAGGTTACTATATGCAATACTTTAAATATAGCAGCGGACTACTATGTTAGGGTCAAAGGTTATTAAAGCCATCCTTGAAGTACCTACTGTGGCAATTCCTTAAAAATAGCTTAGTGACACATTTCTTTCCTGTCATTTTTAGAATAAATTTACAGTATGATGTTGAAATGTTCCACTGTATATTGCTGTTGTTTATTACTTATCGAAAAATATAAAACAAACATTACAAATGCGTTCCTTCCATCTTTTGCGTTTGTAACTATCGTCTTCCTTCCTTCCTTCCTTCTTTTGACCAACAATCATTTATTGTGATGACTTCTCCTTCTGGATGTCACTCATCATATATGTACAACTTATTTTCACTTTCGTCACGTTCCAGCGGTTACTGAAATTCGTTGACAGTTGCTATTCTTCAGTGAGTTATTCACAAAAACTCGTCTCAAAATTGAAGTGATAAATTACATTCTAATCAAATTTTCCTTACTTAACATAGCGCAGAGTGACTTCAGTTTTCTTTGCTTGTCGCAGTAATTCATTTGAATAAGATGATGTTCTGATTAAATCAACTTACTGAAACAGCAGACTCTTTTTAAGACGAAAAATTAAGGTAAAATGGACAGAAGGCACACCTATCTCCTCATTTCACACTGATTTTACTACATCTTCTTAATCATTTCTTAATTACTATGGTCTTTTATTAAATTTTCTGATGGGCAATGCTTGATTTGTTCTGTCATCACAATAAATGTACTGAGACAATTTTGGTGCCACTATGAGTCATCGGAACGAAAATTTTCGTGAAATTTTCAAAAAAAATTTAAGTCTCCTCAAGATGAGTAATTTTCTCCTCAGTGAACCATTAGTTTAGATCATTGCGGAGAGCGATGTTAACAGAACAAGCCGTCCTATCGATCCCGTGTCATCCCATCTATGTCACCGTGGACGTCTTTAATGGATTGATAACATGGTGACGATCACTGATCATTCATCTCTATGAGGATTTGGCATATATTTATCATACCCGTAACCTTTCCATATCTCGTTGACCATTATCCGTGCACTGACACTTATCTCTGAAATTCTCATTCTTATCTAGCAGTAACCCAATTTAGCCTATGGAGCTGAATAATCTAAAACTAATCTTACAAATAGAAGAGGTCTTTGCATGAATAGGAAAGGACCAATTCCTGATTCTCGATTCATTAACATTCTCATTTTTGGTTGATTCACAATGTTGTACGCATATATTGTCAAAGCAGCTTCCTTCTAACGTTTTCTTTTTTTCCGGTCCCAGCTACTTTTTTAGATTTCCTTGTGTCTCATTCCCAACTCAGATCCGTAAGCATTTTTGAGAGAGACTGTCTTTAGATTAACCTTACGAAAGAATAGTCGGAAGAGAATGTTTTGAAAAGTTTTAAAACTAGCTGGTCTGAGATGTAGCCATATGTGAGCTACGTTTTACAACCTCACTTTTACTGTGCGTATTCCATCGATAGGATAGAAAGCCAAGTTACTTATTTGCTTGAATTTTACTTATTTACTTATCTGGTGAAATTTGCTTATCTGCGTCTACGTCCACTTATTTACTTATCTACGTGAACTTACCCATTACTTATTTGTCAGTAGTGAAATTTGAAATTTTTAGACATCAAAAAGTTTTTGCTTTAGACTTTCCTGAGCAATGTGCTCAAAGAGAGAACGTGACCCTGAAACACTGAGGATGGATCCACTAAGATTAAAATTTCACTAAGGTAAAATTCAGCCAAATCTGGCTGATAAGATTAGATGATATTGAACAGATAAATTTTCCTAATTGACTTACCTATATTACTGAGATCGATATTTGGCATCAGGGATCCAAATTAAAAAGTGGAATTGAGATGCAGTGACACTTGATAAAATTCTTAAGGATACACCTGCTTTGGCCGTCAGTAACCTCGTTCCCTGTTATATAATGGGTAAAAATTTGTTTTGTAGTTACATACTGATATCATAGAACTAGTACCATATAAAAACTGTTTAGGCCAAAGCGTTATTGCCCTATTACTAATATGCGCCATCACCGCCCATTTCTGATAATTATTGCAAATCAAAATGAAGATTTGCAGGGATATACTGAGAAGCGTTTTGTTAGGCATGGATGAAGCGCCAGTTATGGAGCACCTCTCTTATGGAAAAGGTTGCAAGCAAATATGAAACGTTGTAAAATAAGTGCTTCAGACTTTAAATCACTCCATAAGAAAGCAACATTTTAGTTTTTGACATGAATGTTGTCTGCCTAGATGTCGTCTGTCGAAAACAGGGAAGGGTGATACGAGGATTACAGGAATGACTCGCTTATATCATCTTAGAAGAGCGTATCGAAACGAGTCTATGTTAAAGGGAATTTACATCACAAAATAAACTGTTACATCATCTGTATTCAAATTGTGATCCTTTCTTACCGGTTAATATTTATTTGCAAGATCTTTGTAAATTTTTTGAGAATCTTGTTTCTTTAAAAATTGATAAGTTGCAGTTCTAGATGAATTGCAAACTGCAGATGATGTAATTCAGGAGGATAATTTAGAAACGATATCTAATGTTACTGTGGCTGCCGCCGATCCATTTAATCAGCATGTAAGCTTTCTATTTACTCATAATTATTTTAAGAAGTTCAAGGTTTTCTGGTTATTTATCTATTAAAATTCCTGGAAAGTTTCTTTTGTTGAATTGGTTTTAGGCATTAAGGCATTAAGTTTGAGAACTTCGAGTGCCTCAACATGACTTCCATAATCTTTTTCCCTTATTTTAAAAAGGTTTTCAGGATTATTCGGTAGATTTCCAAATGGAATCAATGACGCTCAATGCTGATTATCCGATGAAACCAGAAAGGAGGGCTTCTCTGGATGGATACAACGAAAATACGACGGAGGTACTTACAGAAAATACCATGCCGGGACCAGAAAATTGGGAGCAAAAAGATTACGATCAGAATGTTTTTTCCATGGAAGAGAGACTCTGGAAAAAATACTCGCCTGCCCAGGAACCGCTTGTTTCTGACGATCGAGCCAAAGAAATGCACAGTGTCCGAGAGGAGTTGAAGGATGATATTGCTCCAAGAATCCATAAATCACCATTACAGGATGATAAACAAAGCAGACGCGATTTCATGTCATATGACTACGACAAATTCAATAGCAACTTTGCTAACAATAGCTTTGTCAGCAGTGATAATGCCAGCGAATTTAATCTTAACTACGCTGATAATAATAATGATAACACTGCTAATAATATTTTGACCAAACCAAGGAATGATGACCTACCAACCACCTTATCGCAAGGTAACAAGATGTCAAATGATGTCCAGTTTAGTTCGTTGGCAAAACAAGCCAATGGTTTTGAATTAATTAGTCACAATGATTCAATTACAACCGAGACAAATGACTGTCGAAATGACAGTGGGAATAATTTGAAGGTAAGTTTTATTGATGATCTCGTGAAAGTGCTGCACTGTGATCTGTTCTGCAAAACCCGACTTGCCATCTTGAAGTAGCCAGTAGTTGAGGGCGGCGAATGTTTCTCTATAATGAAGATTAAGCTACACAATTTACTATAGTACATTTGACCAACAAATGAATTGAACAGAACGATATGACAGCTTCAAGCCTGAAAAGTATCCCTTGTAAAAGATGATGATGACTGCGCGTAGTAAGTTTCACTTGTAAGTTTGAAAGGTCTCTTTCCTTTATGTATACCTTTCTGTTCGTCGTTTCTCTGGAAAGGAAAACAAATTTGTCTCATTGTTTGCGCGCTATTTAACGCAGCTTTAAATATAATTTTGTTTTCAAAATGACCAATGTATGAATGTTTCAGAATGCTCCAACTAAAGAACAATCATCAGAAGATTCATTAAGAAAACTGGATGATGTCAGGAAAATCTCGGACAGGCTAGAAGCATTCAGTAAGAATAATGAAGTAATGTTCAGTATTTTTCCGAAGAATCTAAATTTCCTTGACATAAAACAGTGTAATATGCAAAATGACTTACGAATTCTCAAAAGTTTGGATCGCATTTTGACATTATATCACATCTTTAACTGGAAAAAAAACAAGCAATGGATGAAAATAAGTATCCGTTGGAACTTCTGTTTATAGGTTTCGAGTATCCTCCTGGAAAGTTTGCGGCCAAAAATTGAGGAGACCGAGATGCCAACAAAAGGTTTGTTGTGTGTTATTTTTTTCAAACTGCGATCCCAACGGTTCAAATATTTTAAGGTTTAATTTAGGTATTATAATTGATAGTTCTCCAGAAGAAAACCTGTCCGGCATTTTATGTTCAAAAGGTTAAAGTAATTTGCCATTCACACAAACAAATTTTCAAAAACCAATAGTAGAAAGCCATTTTGAACAATTTGCAACAGATGAGACAGGAAAGGGAAGGAAACAGAAAGCAAGAGTAGAAATTACTTCTGTCTAATTGAAATTCCAAAATGTTGGATTGGTCTTAACTTACTCCCGAAGAGACTCTATTATATAATGTATAAAATGAGCCTAAATTGTATCGCTGTCATTATGGATAAGTAAAGACTTCACAAAAATATCAAAGTTGGCCGCTTGCATATTTCAGGAGTTGTATCCAACTTGAAATCATTGTTTGAAAGCAACGCCGTTCACAACAGTAATGACACATGCAAAAGTGCCAGCTACAAACTTGGCCAGTTCATAGTTTTTTTTTTTGGTTATTTTGTTTTAAATGCACGTTTTAGAACATCGTTGAGCCGAATTCATTTCCTAAATATATTTAAGTTGTAAATTGTTTCAAAGACCGATCAATTTTGGAATTCGATTGAAAACGACAAATGAAATCCGACATACCTTTTTTCGGCGGGTCTTCATCATCATCCAAGAAGCGTTTCTCCTAGTGAATTATAAACGAGGGAGGATTTAGGCCCACTTGGCTTCTGCTGTATAACTGAATCCTCTTAACACACTTATCTACATTATCTCCTACTCTCTTATCATCACTGAAAATAAAATTAAACACATTCTTATGTGAATTACAAGTATTTCAAAGTAATATTAGCTTCTTTATTTTCTGGCGATTGCTTATTTAAATTACCTTTCACAACAAAATACAATTAATTGCAGAATATGGAGTTGGCCGATCGTCGGGTACGTTGAATAAAGGCGTATTTCATTAAGATATCGGAAAATGTCATCTTTTCCTGAAACTACTGATAATTTTTTTCTGAATATTTGAAATATATGTTTGAGTATATACCCAACACTTACATCGATACTAGCCGTGTGTATTATTTATATATTGTATCCACGGTAATAACAAAATATCTCTTCATGTTCACCACTTTTTATCATTACGAACACAACCGATTACCTATTTTTTTAATGCTTAAAATAGCTCTATAACCAATAAATTTATCGTTTCTCACTAATATCACACATAATTGACAGTACGATGAAGTTTTGACAAGAGGAATAATACCACACAAGCCATCAGTTCGATGACGTACGTATTTTTTGTCAAACTGTGTCACTCAGTCGTTAGTCGATGTCGCAAGATATATTCAAGATTTAAATTAAACAGAAAATATCGAATTGTTTTTCTGTTGTTTACAATCATCAGTAAAAGAGAGCCCTTATTGTTCTATTTGGATTTTTTCACCACCGATTATTTAGAAATTGAGAATTCTATAAATGAGTTAAGACTATTATAGAAGTCCTTCTTATGTGAAGTACCTCCGTTAAAGCTTTTTCTTGATTCACAATCTTTATAACTCCCGCAATGAGACAGAAGCTGAGATCTGAGTTCAAAACTTTTTGTATTAAAACATTTATTAATCAAAGCAATAAAAAATGAAAAATCAACTAATAGTAAATGCTGAATATGTCACGAATAGAACGGGATCTTTAATGATCTTATCAGTGGTTATAGCAAAAGGGTACAAGTCGATTGTTCCTGTAGAAATTAAAGTTATGTTCAAATAAAATTTCTACCAGACAGGATGATGAAATCCTGAAAATTAAGGCAATGAGGAGGATATAAGTTAACAATGGTGGGGATTTCACTTTTTCTTAGCATCTTTCTCTGCACAATGAACCATGCTAAGGGATAGCCATATCTCCCTGATAACCCCGGTGAAGCTTACAAAAGCTTTCCCCCAATCTTAGGCATATATATGGAAAAATCCTATAGTCGTTTATAAACAAATGTACTACAACGCATTGAATCATAAGCTACAATATTCCTTTCGCAAAGTGCATTCCCTGCAACATATCCTCAGCCCAACAAAGAACGAACCCTTGTACCTGAACCATCCACAACATCGCACAAACTGTCAACAAACCGATAGTCAACTATTGTCAAAGATAACGACAATGAATTTGTTAGTTGATTATATTGCTTGTTTATTGTATAACTTATTGCTTACCATTTTATCGCTTACTATGTACTTGATACTTTTTTTTCCTTGTTGTTATTAACTAGTAATATTGTGCGAGGACAATATTACATCCCAATAAACTTATACCGCTGAAAAACGAAGTCAATGAATTAGCTTTTCCGACAGTATTAACTAAGAAAGATAATGGAAGTGGCAGTACGAATTTGTAATAGTTTGCATTGACTTCGTTTTCAGAATGGAAACTGACAGGAATCCTAAACATAACTGGGATATAACTGCAGTTAAGATGATCAAATTGAGATCAGAGAAAAATCGAACTGGAAACGAACGACATGGAAAGATTGTCAAATACAAAGATTTCAGATCGAAGACCAAAGGTTATGGGAAAAAGACAGCAATTAATTCATCTGATGGCAAAAGCAGTTGGTAAGATAGGAAAAAATTTATTTAGAAAACTTTCGGAGGGCATCGGGATGAATGGAAACAATTTGCTCAGCCGAACATTTTCCTTGAAAAGGATGATTTTCGAAAGGAAAGCGGGGAGAAGTTCGAAAGAATGCTTTAGCGTTTCAGGAATATTTTGAATGTTGTAAAAGCCGAGTGATTCAGCTCATCTTAATGATATATTATAAAGTTCAGACTAAGTTTTTGAAGATTTATTTTCATACATATCATTTGCATATGCACATGTCTGCATATGTCATTAATGATATTCTACTGATAAACAGTCAAGCCTGAAAAAAGAAAATAAACACAGAGAGGAATTAATGAATTTCATCGAAATTTTATGCTATAATCATATGCGACAAAGAAGATCGATGTAACACCGAACTATTTGTGGTTTTTAAAGAAATCTTTTTCGTGTTCCTGAAAAATGAATCCATTAATAAATATGCAAATTCTTGACTCATTGTGGTTCTTAGCTGTCAAGAGCGAAAGAACTCTTGGCAATCAAAGGCAGGCTGTTATTTATACTTTCCTATAAATGAGTCGTAGTTTTCAAGTGCAAACTTTCATTATTTCGTTAATTCTAAAGTGATTTCGATGGAAGCTCCAACGGAAATCTAGAATTTTAGCGAAATTTAAAACCCAATTAGCATTCGCACTGTATAGCTAAGTTTAGAACACAAAAATGTATGACAACAGAAAAAAGAAGCAAGAAACTGATTCATTTCCCAATTTGGTAATAGTTTCTTGATTCTCACTGTATGATATATGCTATTGATATGAGCGTGATACTGCATTTCAAAGTTGGAAGTAAAAATATCCGGCAAAAGGCACGAAATTCATGGTTCCAGTATTACTGAAAGAATACAACTCGAATTTATAGTATCACTGAAATTATGGAAGCAAACAAATTCGAAAAAAACAATTGCTAAACAAATCAGAAGGTAAGCAGGTAGTTGATAAGGAAGTCACAACAGAATGTTCAAGAATGTTGAATTTAGCACTTTGATAAAATCATTGAGTAGTCATTGATCAAATTTAAATGATTTGTATGGGCAACCACATGTAAATATTTCATCCCGCACTCACTAACGGGAACAATTATCAAAGCGACACTATCATTTTTTTTTTTTTTTTTGGTAAATAGGGCCAAGCTTTTCACAGAATGTTTAAAAGATCTTGCATTACCAGTACTTGCAGTTTGCATTAGCTGCATTTGGCCAATATAATAACTTAATCAGAGGATAATCGATAAATGAATGAGTATCAAAATTCGGACAGAAATGACAATTAGGAGATTTGAAGTGAAATTATATTAAACTCAACAAACGGCGAATTCATGAAATTTGCCATCTTAAAATTTTCCATGCTTTAAAAACAGTAGGATCGTAATGTGAAAAACAACAATAAGTATCGAAATTTTTGAGTATCAAAATTTTAGTTCACATTTGCTCGGCAAATTTGAGGTCCAAAAAAAGAAAGTCTCTGGAATCAAAACCAACTTTGTAGGCTGCAGCTGTGACAATTCACATGAAGCATTGCCAAAAATCTATTTCTCTCGTCCCCAACTTATGTAAATTTTCAGTAAACTATTTGAGTGGATATATTTTATTTCACCACTAATGGTTCTTACACATTTCGAGACAGTTAAGCGACTGATTAGTTGAACTTATCGTTTGGTTCGACACATTCTTCCTTAAGTACTTGCAATGAATGTACGGCGGCTGTTGTTTCTTCTTCCTCACTTCTTCGAATTACCTTAGCGGTAAATTTGCATTATTTACAGAATCTCGCTGTTTAATCTGTGCATTTCATTAATTTAATTGGATAATATGATCACGAAAATGAACTTTCCGAACTAAAATATATCCAAAACTAACATTAAAGTATGAATAATAATTAAAGAACCTCAGTTGGTATGCCAACAGTTGTAATCATTTCCGTCCCTGATGTTGTGTCGTAATGATTGGTTGAGAACAATGATTGGGACAAAACATTATTCGCATTCAAACCTGTACATCAAATTACAGCATAATTCGAATAAGTCCTTTCGTATAAGTAGAAAAGTACTGAGAGATAAAGACCAGAGAAATAAATATTATATTATGAATCCTGACTGCTCGCTGTTAAATGACATTTTAAATGATGGAAAAAATACCTGAAAGAGAAATTTCCTGAGATGTATCATATTGAGTTCCGGTATTCCATGCATATAGTTGATCATCATTCACTGAACCGACCGATGAAATAACGTTATAGGGATGGACCAGATCACTAACTGTTTCAACGGTCGAACTGAACAAACTGCTTGCTGGAATTTTCTGGTCATATAGGTTTAAGCCTTGCCAGTACAGAAACGATTCTTTCGATTTTCGCGATATTTTTCTACATTAACACTGGGAATTGTTTTAAGAAAACTAACTTCATGATATATCCGAACATTTGAAATTCATAAACAAAACCTACCGGAATTGGAACTTCCGTATGTACGGCTACCTCTGTTATGATGATTGCCCAACTTTTTCGATGTTACAGGTTGTCGTAGAATGCCATCCGATTTTTGTTTCCGTTTCCGTGTTTGCAGAGTACCCTCTTTTTTCATTGATATTGGACGTTGCACTTGATGTAGTTTAAAATACAATCCGCAAGCACTAAATAAAATAATAAAGCGATTAGAAGATGCGAGAAGCTCCGATTGTTAGAAGTAACTTGTGTGCAAAGGATAAGCTATCAGTGTGACACTACGATTATAATTCTTGAAATAAATTTTATGATAGAATAAAGATTGATTGAAAACGCACTTGCATACCGGATGTCCATCAGCATCCCTTCTCCACAATGTTGTGTTAGTACCTCTGCAGTTTGCGCAAACCAAGCCTTGCCTTCGCTGCGAATTATGTTGAGGCTAAAAATCTATAGCCGATTCCACACTATGTGGAATACATCAAGTGAAGAATTTTGGAAAAATAAATTTGTGTCTCAATCGTTTTTGTAAAATTAATATGTATCTTGAAATCTTTAATCATCGAAAAAGTCAATTTATGAATCATAGAAAGTTTAGAAAACAAAAGATTTTCCTCCCTTGCATTCTAACCTTTGACATATCGATATTCGCAGCTAGCAAAGGTTTCAAAACAAATGTATTATTACTTGATTTTTCCTTTGTAGTTGTCGATTTCGACTGCCAGAGGAATTAATTCGAATAGATTGCTGTTGTCCGCTCACTAATGCCTGTTCATTGTTCTCCGCAGTTCCGCAAGATGTGTTTAGAAATGGTGAATATGAAACAATGTGCTGAAAGATAAAAATTCAATGGATCTAGCAAAGGAGGGAATCTGAACTTATCAGAAAATTTGTTTTGGTTACTATCATTGTCGTCATATTTAATCATCCCAACGAATTTTGAAAATTCATAATTTCGATATCAACATTATGCTCTTTATTGTTGTTATCGTTAATTCCAAGGCATCTTATTTAAGAATTTACTTCAGCTGAACTATCATAATCTTTAATATATTCTAAATCAACTTTAAATTATCTAAAAGTTCTTTTAACCGCTTTATTTGCTTGTATCACTATTTAAAAGAATTTTATGAATTTACAGGCTGCGATTCCTTTTCCATATTCGTCCTAATATAGTGCTTTAAGAGATACCTGTGACATGTCTGGTCGAGTAGTGCTATAATGTATCATGAGATCGGATGCGCATTTGGTGCAAATTGTTGAAGTACCACTACATGCAATATCCGAAATATAAATACCGCACTGCTGACATTGTGCTGATGTGGTTACTGGTTGTATTGCAGAATTTGCAATAGTTCCATTTAACTGGAATTGTTCGGTTCATTTCCTGTTGTCTATGTGAATAAAATCTTTTTGGAGGATAAAAAATTTTGCTTAAGTTGAGAATGGGAAAAAATGGATCGCTCGATTTTATTCAAGTTTAGTTCAAAGTTACTGATAGCTTCGAGTGTAAGTAGAGTACCATTTCGTTTTCTTTCTTTGCAACATTAAATGTTCCTTTGGAATACTTGAAGAAATATTTTTTTTTTTCAAAGGATTTCAAGCTTGAAAAAATTGAATATATACCGTCTGGGGAGGAAAAACGCAAAGATTCCCATCCATACCAGTTCTTTGCGGTAGTTGGTAAGATGAAAGCGGATCATAATTAGTATTCATTCGAAAAGAATCATAACTACTGAAATTAATTAATAAATCTAAAATTTTCAAAAAGTTGAAAGGATTGAAGGTCTTGATGATTTTAAATCGAAACAGAAGTCTTTTTATGTAAAAGTTGATCCGCTGAAAATTTGAAGCTCAAAAACAACAAGTTGCGAGCAAAGAACCGATTGTAGCTTACATTGATTGCAGAATGATACGGTATTATGAGTTGCTCTCAGAGTGGTACAATTTCGGGTTTTCCCTTCTTATCCCAACTTTTTCCACAAAAAGAAATTATAATTAAGTAGATTAATTTTTGGAGAAAATTTTTTTTCATTTCAACTAAAAGTAAGTAATCAGAAGTCAGAGTTGTAGAACCTGGATAACTGTGTCGTAGCAGTGACAGCAGTATTATATGTTTGTATAGCAGTTGATGGCATTAGTTCAGTACCAAGAGTTTGCTGCATAAGATAAGCTTGTGAAGGTACTCCCGCATAGTAATATTGTGGTGTGGCAAGAGCTGCTGCTGCAGCTGTTGAACAACTGGGATATAGACTGACACCGGATTGACCCATCCATTCTGGATAATGGTGACATGAAACTGCTGTTGATAATTCTGAAAATGGTTGTGTTGAATTCTTTTGTACGCCAAATAAAGATAGTTTCAAATCTGTAGTTAATAAAAATAATTCATAGTTGCAATATCAAACTTATTTTTTATTAATCAATTGAAATATTTTAGTAGTATGATCATGGCTGAAAGAAGGAACGGAACTCTTGGAAGACTATGAATGCATAATTTTTGAAATATCTTATAGCATTTATTTCGAAAGTCTGATCGTTACAACACTCATCTGCTCCCTCTATTCAACTGAATAATATAAATTCATGAAAAAAGTTGCTTAAAGAAAATTAGCAGTTGACTGATGTTTAACTAAAAGTTTATTGCGAAGGTCGTGGTCTGGATGGTTCCTTACAAATTGAAATGAGTTCATATTAAAAAGGTCTTGAATGAACTGCACTTTTGGAAGATCTGGACAAAAAAAATCATGCCGGGAGTTTGCACTAGATTTGGTAGTAAGGATGAAAAATTTGAAGCATGAAATTTCGTCTCCGACATGCCATCATTCGGAATCACTGAGCTCGGCCCTACCACAACTGATTGACGGCGCATAACATTTGCTTCTGAAAAAAAAATTCTCAAGTCTTTTTTGAAGTTTCTGGAAATTTAGGTGTTTTGGACATGGAGTAATCTTGTTATCTTCCACAGAAAAAATTAAGAATATCAGGAATATTGTAAGGGAATTCCAAGATGTATCATCTCAAACTTACACTTTCTCAAGTATATTTAATTATAAGTAAACCTCTATAACATAGCAATAGATCCATCTTATAAGATTATTTCTAAATTTCTGCAGTTATTTTGCATAACGTCGCATTTTTCTTACCTAAACTTGCGCCAATTTCTCTTTTAATCGAATTTGGTGCTGACATACTCAGTGAGTTTTTTCCACCGTTATCCTTGTTGTTATTATCTTTACTGATGTCATTGTTATTACTAGGCGGTAACTGTGTAAATGAACTCAGATGACTCGCTGCAACAGCATTAGTATCTTTCATTGCAGATGATGTCCCGGGTCCATTCCAACTTTGGCTTGCCTCCATTTCGTCCCCTTTTTTTTTTTTGGGGAGATTTTCTTAAAAAATTATAATTTTCTTAAAAAAAAAAAAGGAAATGCATTTAAAACGTGATAATAATTCTTTCCATTGGTAGTCTAAGACGTTCAACGATGGAGCGCATATTTTTCTTTTGTTAAATAAGGCGATCACGTGAGTGTTCATCAGAACATCCGATAGTGTAATGATATGTTTTTCATGAAAATTAATCTGAAAGTGGTCCCGAAAGGACTCAAAGTGTTATTTGAGCCTGAAGAAATTCTGTCACTAGATGGCCAACCAAATCTTTACAGAGCAAATCAATTATTAACCTGATAATCTTCTATTAGTGATGAAAACAGTATATTATATCATACAACAATATTTGCTTCATCTAATTAATTGTTTATAGATTTGTTTTAAATATAACGGTAAAATTATTTATCATTTATTCATGAACACTGATCTCTCAGAATAAGAAGCCGTTGTCTTATCTTATCAACTTGCCAACAGAACTAAATAAACCAGTAAATGATAATTTATGACTTTGTTGCTAGCAAAAACTATTCATCAGATATTGAAATTATGAGTCTGATAATTGTATTGATTTTATCACTAGTGCAAAAAACTTCTTTTCCAAGATCTTTTTAACAGATTTACTTTTTCTACACACAAATGACAAAATTTTAAGAAAGAAATGATACGGAATTAGATTTAAAAAGCAAATTATTAAAATTATAAAGTTTCAAGTAATCAAATAGAAGAAAGAATAATCGAGAGAAGAAAAGTAAACAGTAATTTTAGTTGGAGGCTTCCGATGGATTGAATGATGACAAAATGATGGTAACAACTAGCGATGAAGACACGAATGAAGAAGAGGGGTAGGACAGAAGGAGAAGGAAGTTTGATTTGATGACTTTGCTACCGTAACCAATAGGATGCTCTCATTTCTTGAACCACTTAAGCACGGCTGAAGGGACTTTTATATTTGTGTTTTTCGAACGAAGCAAAACAGATTTGAAAACGATAAAAATTTGGACTTGTGAATATCGAGATCATTTTTTGCTCACAACAGTTTGGTATTCATTTAACATCTTGTCCACTTATTCCAATTACTTTATGATTACTTTGTTGTTGTTACCCATTGGTCAGCATCTCAATCAAATTCATCTCGTTCTCGGCTTCATTTAAGATCGCACTTACTTTGGTTCTTAAAAGGATGCATGCCACTTTCGAGTTGTAACAAACAACATGGTCAAGTGTTTTTTCAAAGTACAAACATTGGCATTCATAAAAATTCCGTGTCAACCTGAAGTCCCAGAAAGGTCATCCATTGTTGGCATTCTATGATTAGAATATCGTTTGTTTATTGTAATCTTGAATAATCAGTTTCTATCCTATCAATCAGTCCACAATCACCTTTGTTAAATCTGCATAGTGTCATCAGTTAGTGTATGCATATATGTATCTATATGTTATTTTTGCTAATGATAACCTATCAGCAGTACTGAAATGATTATCATCAACCGTAAAAGATATCTGTCGCCTCTTTCATCAACCATTGCATATCACCACTGATAAAAGTCGCTATCTCTCCCATTCCCGAATCATTTTATCACATTCGAGCACCTCTTACGCTGTTGCTTTCAGCTTTGTTCTTTTTCAAATTTCTTCTATCTTCACAAAACTGAGTTACATTCTAATTTTAGCAAGACATGTTTATGTTATACTGATCTAGCTGCGTTCATCACTGCCCATAATCTTGTCTATAAGCTTCATAAATCAATGTCCACTTACCGTTTAGTGAATCGATATATCGACGTTATTTGTTAATTAGATAGCTTCCAGTCTAGCTTATAATTAAATTATCCAGTATCGAATTGCATAGTTCGTCGTGCCAGCTCTCTTCATGCGAATCCTGAAATCAAGTCAAAATAGCTAAAAATGCTTAGATAATTACGCAGAATGAAGTAGAAAAGAGCCAAGGATGATATGTAAGGTCACGCTTAGGATTGCTTATTGTGCTAGTGTAGACGTAATATAATAACACTAATAATAGTATCATCTCTCCACTCATGCATGCTTTTTTGCACTTCAATGTTTGCATTTCTGTACAAGGATGGTCCAAAAAGATCAAATTCCTTTTATTTTTTTAAACAATTTCTTCATAAACTTCCAAATAATGTTGTCTACATTTTTATCGATACTGTACTTTTTGGCTCTCCTTTAGGTATGTGTTTATTCTCTTGTGAAATCATCACAGTACACAACCATGTAGCAATCTTTAGGATTTTATTGTACTGAAGAAAATAGACAATCAATCCATAACTATATTTTTGAACATTGTAATGTTTATAAGATTACGATATCTCAGAGAAGGCTCTGTATTGAAGCAATCAAAAAGTAACCTATGTTTGAAATTTCGTTTCTTTATGATTAATGCAGGGAATGCTAAAAATCATTTATTTCCATGGCATATTTATAAATGTGACAATGCAGAGATGTGCTACTTTCATCATTGTCTTTTTAAATAAAAGACAATCGTTTCAAAATGTCCACTTGAATTCCCAATTTAAATCTCAGCGAAAACTTCGTTGCTTGGTGTTCAAAGATTCAAAAAATTTATTGCTACAACATTACTATCTTTTATGAGCAAATATAGCAAACGTTTCTCTCTTCTTCCTTTTCTGGTATGTTGATGGTCTTATCAGTCACCAAGCAAATGATACTTGATAAGGATTTAGTATTACTATGTAAACAATTCAGAAGCGTACGAATATATTTAATAAGACACTATAATTCGTTTTCATTAAATTGCGTTACCAGTTAAACCAATCAATGATCATTTTGCACCAAAAATAATTTGCCAGTTTTTAATGTTAGCATAATTTTAAAATTACGCGACATATCGAATATTAGGGAAACGTGATGTGAAAGGTTATCAGTAAGCGTCTCTGACAAGCATGCATGAATGTATGTTTTCCATGAGTACAACTTCTCCTTTACTATTTTCGAGGATATTTCACTGTGTAACACTCTTGAAATACGGTATTAACTCATTCCAAAAATCACGATATTACTTGGCACTTGAAGTTGAAATTTTAGCAAAAAAATTGAGCGTATATTGAATTTGGAACTAAAAATGAAAAGAGAGCAATAGTTGATTCATAGTATAAGCCACGTATACATTGATATTGACGTCTACTCCGAATCAATCTGGAATCCACAGATATACACGTCAGATTGCACGACGAAAAATCTTTACAATGCATGCGTCTTTACAACCAGTCTTAATTTTACACATTGAGTTTTTTTTTTTTTTTTTTAATACTTGTACTGACCTATGCCAGTTTGTTTAACTCGTATTGAAACACTTCATTTTTCAGGAAGTTCTCTGGAAGTTCTGCTCTTATATTCAAAGAAAAAAGTGTTGAAGCCGAATGTATCATTCTTTTTGGATTATTGCGCTCCTTCATATTTTTTTAATCTGAGCAACTGAGATGAATCTATATATCTACATCATACACTGCAGAATGCGAACCATTCGCGCACATGTACTGTTTTTGATTGCAAGTTTTTCAGTGCCATTTTGTATTCCGAATCCTTTTGGCTATCCCAACATAAGAGTGATTAAGCATCTTCTAGAAAGAATGAATCACATGTAACGTAACGTATGACCGAATGTCACTCCATCCCTCTTACTACATCCATTTCAAGCGCATTTCAGATTATAAGCCCACATATGACCGCACCAGCGAATCTGCAGTTGTTAGTCTTAGATATGTAAGGAATACCGAAATTTAAATGAACAAACCTAGACATTTTCCTACCTAAGCTAGACTTCTATTTTGAAATATGAATGACGGACATGTTCGAATAACTTGATTTCGCAGGGTGTAACGACCGAAAAGCATAAAATAAGTTCAAGACAAACTGATCCAAAACTATTCGAAGCGCGTCCCTATTAACGCCTGGTTTATCACACCAACTTTTGAGATCTTCGCTCTGCAGAAAGTGTACGCCAAACATTAGCAATAATACTTGAAGGAAATATTTATCATAATAATACGGATATATAGTGTAACATTACAAGCAACATGAAAATAAGATAACTTTGAACCCCTTTCGCACAAAATTAGAATTCAAATCCCAAAAAATTAAATAATACCACGCCGGAAATTGTACATGTCACACTAAGAAACAGTTCAAAAAATGTCACATACATTATTCTATAACACACATAATTTCGTCGATGCAAGTCCGAACGAGTGCGAAGAATGAAAATGGAAGAATATGGAGGAAGTGTAATAAATTAAAACAAACATGATTTTGGTCGAACTTTTTCCATACTTATGAAATTCTTACTTTTCCACAAACTCCACATCATGAGATGATCCCTATGTCAAGATATGTAGATGCACTACTCGTGCCTAAATGGTTAAAGCTGTGAACATGTACACACATACAAATATGTACATACAAATACATATCCCACAAATACAATTTACAGCAGAAGAATTACTTTTAAGGTCTACCATTTCACAACAGGGCAGGAATCGACCCAGATAGTCTATTTCGACATTTAAGCAGCAAAGAAAATTCAGCAAAATTTTCATAAAAATTCAAATTTTATAATAAATGAAGAAATGTTCAAATTCTAAATTCATCATGGATTTCAGTTTTTAACAGGAAAAGATTTAAAACTTTACCTTGCCATGAACCTAACTGCACAGTAAGATTGTTTCTGGACAAAAAGCAATAGAATAAAAGTAGAGACATAAAAAAGTCCATTGCGGAACTTGAAAATGATTTTTCCTTCGTTAATTTTTCAACCATGAATAGATGCATAGTCTTATTTCATAAGATATAAAGGATATTTCCATGTTCTGCCATAGAAATAGTAAGATCAAGTGCAGTAGCGTCGCTAGAAAAAAAGAAAACAATAAAATATATCAGAAATATCTTAATTTCATGAAGCCACAAAGAGTAGCAAGAAGCACTTCGCATAACTACGTTTAAAAGACACTACGGTGCCAAAAAGTCCCCAAACTGCAAACTTCAACAAATTCAGTCTGAATTTCTCACTTTTATTTAGGAAAGGGAAAAAGGATAAATCTTAACTTCATGGCATTACAACATATTTTATTAAAATCAATTCACTCTCATTTCATCACATGCCACTTCGCTATTTCTGATGAAAACATCTGGAACCACGAATTTCACAAGAAATTATTTTAAAAATTCCATGGAAAAATTTTATTTGCAGATTAAATGTCCCCTTACAAAGGAGCAGCGACCCTTTGTTTTTGTAGATGAATATCAATCCACTTTCACAGAACTGTATATTTTTTCCACGAAAAAGAATGCTGACAAGAAACCAACTGCTCCTAAAATTATATACTATCAGGCCTAAAATTATATACCATCAGAAAAAAAAAAGAACAAGATAATTTACTTAATATTACTTATATTATCATGCGGCTAAACCTTGTATTTTTCAAAAAAAAGGGAAAGGATGCCCTGAATCCGAATCACATCATGTCCACGAAATTGATCCCACAACAAAATAAAAATTACCAGTTGCCAAAAAGAACATGAAGACAATGATGAAAGTATATGAGAAGTACAGGATGGTTGACACAGTGCCTGTTATAGTTAGTTTTGCCATGAAGTAATGAATACAGTAGATAAAAAGATATACTGCTGTAAAGCCTGAAGTCAAGAATGATCGCCACCACCAATGATAGTCCTGTAAAATACAGAAAATGAAATTTCAACGTTTAAACATGTGTCCAATCCCTAAGATCTTTAATCTTCATTCCTCAAATGCCAACAATGAATAAAAGCGACCTATACATTATGCATTTTGCAACAAGTATCCAATCTAGAGAAATCAAAAGCGAAAACTGAGTTTCCACTCCCTATTATTCGAAATCCACAATAAAGAACTACTGTTAAAACTATGGATTAAAAAAATGCGAAAACTTTCGTTGTCTCATTAAATAACTTGACAATAAATACATGATACTAAAAATAATATTTGCAAAGCATTAAAAATTAGTTTTTTTTTTTACCTCAGCACATAAATGGAAGTAGCAAAGAAGTACTGTAGCTTCGCTGCATGTTATGAACAGAATCAAGAACACAAGAAAGAGGAAACCAAACATGTAATATGTTTGATGGGCCCTGTAACAGAAAAAGACGCATGCATTTGATGATTCGGTAAAAAATATGGTTAGAAAAAGGATGAAGTTGCTGTGTAGGATAAAAAGAAAACTGGGAAAGTCAGCTTCCATATCTATCTCTATGAATAAAATTTATGAGAGAGATATCCCGCGAAAACAACTGAACTGTGCCTTCAGATATTCTGGATTTAATAAGTTAAAATGAACTACAAATTTCGATGCAAAGGTTAAATCCATAAGTCAACAACTCACCAAATGCTATTGAGAATAAAGAAAAGCTGAATAAAAATACATCCAAACGGAAGGATACCACCCATAAACATTCCTGCGATTGGTTTCGTGTAGAGTGATTGATCTGGCACTTGTCGCGGGATTTGATTTGTACGTACTGGATGTTCGATAGGCTGAAAGTTTTCAATCAGTAAGAAAGAAGTTCTCCTATTCTTCGAGATTTGACAAAATGTTAGGGTATTTGTCGCATTAGGGTTTTAATGTATTCTAGTGCTTTAATGTCTCGAGGATTTCCAAATAATTAATATATTAAACATGTGGAGATATTATTCGTATGTCTTAGTATATTAGACATCCAATTACGACTCATTACATTCATGCCGTACATGATTTATATGATTTATAGATTGTAGAACTATGGATGCAAAAAGTGTTGGAGAACAGTCTGATCGCATCTAACTGAAGATTGTTTTGAAAAACGATTCCGTGGACAAGAACTTTGTCCCAATGTCCTATCGGCACTCCTAAAGAGTAAAACAGTAATTCCAGTATAAAATTATCAAATCTTCTTACACGTCTTTTAAAGCCAAAATAGGATCCAATAAATGTTAGTGGAATAGAGACAAAAAGCCAAAGGATTAGAAGCACGATAAGTGTACCAAAAGGTACTGCTGCCGATGAACCTTTTGCCCATAACAACAGGTTCGAAATGAAAAACACCGCAAACACGATTCTGCAATAAAATACCTGGGAATTTCCATATCCATGTAGCAAAATTATCAAAACATCTTATTCATTTAAAAACATTGGCAAGAATGAAAGAGTAAAAACATACCCAGGAACAAGGAAGCTAGTCATTAATACATTAGTCTTCCATGCCAGGCCATTCATTGCTGAAAATTGAAATCTTTTTGCATTTTCCGGAATTCAGATGATTAATGATTTAAATGCATATTTCGACTGCTAATATAACTTGTGTTCGAACTTCCACAAAAAAAGATGCATAAATACTAATCATAGTTCGAAAATTGATTTAAAAAATGAAATAAACATGATGTCCTCAATATTAGGCCAGTATCTTCAAAAATCAGAAACAAAAATTCCTAATTATTGCAAAAACCCTTACTTTTGTAAAGTCTTGCAGATATATAACCAGCAACGATACCAAAAAAACATAGAGAATGAGTGCGAAGGTCATTAGAGATCCACGATTTGCCGGTGATAAGAAACCAAGACAGGCAAATACTACAAAATGAAGAGATACATATTTAAAATAATAGACCTTTTTTAAACCATTAGAAAAGAATTAACAAAAAACATGTAAAAGCTAAGCAATAGTTGTTAACAAAACCGGAATATTTTTTAAGAGTTATTTTTTGCAAAATCTGAGTCTAAAGATCAACAGAAAAATTCTCAAATCGCGAAATTCTTGATACTTGGTACATACTCTTCTAAGATATAAATCTCATCCGTCTAAGATTAACTTGGTTATCAAATACGATTAGCTGGAAGTTAAGGACACAAAAAGTCCTACAAAGCACCAAATATTTCCTAATTGGACAACATGCAGCCAGGGTTTAAGAAATCATGCAAGATAATAGTGATATGCTTATACCAAGAGTGACGGCAACCATAAAGAGCACTTGACATCCACTCCCCACAAACACAGAAAGAAACATAGCATATCGCGGTGGACGAAATACATCACCATGAACCAATTTCCAACCAAACTCTTCTTGAGCATCTTCCTCAAATTTTTTCGATTTCAAAATATGAACTTGAAATTCTTGAGAACATTTCGAAGATATGAGATCTTGAAAAGTTTACTGCTCTTTCCAACTTGTCCGACTCGAGGATACAATATATAAAAGTCCAAAATTTTACATCGTCCAAGCAATATGTCGCTGACTTTATTGGATTTCTGAATGTACACATTTTACGCTTTCTTTTTTTCTTTTTTTTGGGGGGGAGGGAGGGAAGGGGAGATATGATATATATCTTTTCAGTCTGGCTTTTGAGGACTATCGTCATATAATTCAAAAAACAATTAAACCTTCGAAAAAAAATAGGAAACAAACTAACCTCATTATCAAGCTGATTATATCGAATGATATCGCGATGTAGAGTCCGAAGAAGTATCATACCCACCTAGGATGTTAATGTTATTATTCCAGAATAAACAGCTTTTTAATTTGTATGCGTGAAGTAAAGAATGATAAACTACACCTCATCCAGCAGTATATTTCTAGATATCAATGAAAAGGAAAAATGTTCCCCACCCAATTATGAATCTATGTGAAAAACGGAAGCTTTGTGAGTGAAACAAAAAGGAATCTTTTGATCCAAGAAAAGAACTACCATTCCAGAAAGAAACAAAACGATAACAAGTGAATTCAGGATCGAAAACCACTGGATGTTAGGATGTGGAACTGAATCTAGAATATAATCCCATCGTGAAGACCATTTCACTTGAGTCGTCTGCAAATTTTTGTCACAAGCGATTACGAAGAAAGTTATCCCGATAGATTAACTCAGATTTTAAAATCGTATGGAATTGTAACGAGTTAAAAACAAAGCTAATAAACGCTAAAAATAGTTGCTTTTTGATGTGCACAGAATTCTTTCATCAATTTTCATGAAGATAAATGATTAAAAAAAGCAAACCTGCCACACAACAGAGTATGTATAAATAATTTTGTCAGGTTTTTCATTAGACTTTATAGGAAATGGCTGTGCAGTGATTCCACAATCAAGTTTATCTTTTGCTTTATGTTTGATGCTTCGTGGTTGTACTTTGATGCGAATAATTCGACCCCCCACATGTTCTTCCAAGAAATTTGGATCCTGACTCATGTTGCGATATTCGATCAGAATATCAACGTGATTGAAGATGTAGTAGCTATCGGGTTGTCTATAACGTGAATCTAAAACACATGCATCTTTCGGTCTACCATCACTCGTCACGTAACAACCCATCGGGAAACCTGTTGTACAGACATTCTGATTTTGTTGATTGATAAAGCAGAATGTCACCGGCATATTGTCCAATATCCTAAAATGGTTTACGTTATATACATATGTGGATGATTCAGGAACCCATTTCACCCCAAGCCATATACGATAAATTACCAAAATATAAGTTAATAAATCTCTCGATGACCCACTAGTCGTTCTAAATAGCATGATTTTAATTTCAATAGAGTTGATCCTGAAAGCCACTGAAACGTTAACAAATGGTGCTATTTTCTGTCACTGGTACATCATATGTTGTGGTCGTATGTGCCACTTATATGTGAGTGTTCATTAACAGTTAAATGAAATGCCAATAAATCTCATTAAAGTGTTAGAAATAATTTTTTTAAAAAAAACCAGTGATGTTGATAATTTAATTTCATTCCTTTCCGAAGCAACCACATTTTTTTCTGCGCATTTGGATCATTGTCGTTGTATTTTCTTTCACACAACAGTTTACACTGCATTTGTTCATTGAAGCTTATCTAAAAAACTACTAAGAGAGAAAATTCAATTATTTTGAATAGTTTTGACAATATATAGCGTCTTTCAGTACTACAGAATTGCATAATATGGAGAGATGATATGTATTATTTCGCTAGGCATAGTTTTATGCACGCTTTTTTCAGTGATGGCCTGAATGAGAATCACCAAACTATTCTGACATGGATATGAAAATAGGGAAAGATTAAAAGGGGACAATTTTAAACAACCGTTAATGTCATTGAAAATCTGCACTTCTTCAATTCCATCCCAAAAAAAGTCTGGAAATAATGAATTACAGTAACGCTTAAGTACTTTATATGGGCTAGGTCTAATTCGTTCTCCAAACAACACTTGGCCGAGATTCTCTACTGGCGATTCATTTTCACTGCCAATACAAAAATCGAAACTGAAATACACCAGAAATTAATATGAAAGTCCTTATGCAAATAGATGCTGTATATTAATTTAAAAATAAAGTAGTTACAGTCATAAAACAGTGAAAGGATTTACCTGTGATATTCAAATGGAATGACACTTTGATCGCTATCCAAACGATTCACGTAAAGAGTTATGTTACTCTAAAAATTGATAGTGTTTCGTAAGATTCAGTAGGAGTTGCATTACTTTTATGAACAAATATAAGCATTGAGCAGAACTAATAAAGTAAGTGTAATGTAAACGACAGAGCTACAAAACTACAAAATAATGTCAATAATGAAATGAGTTTGTGGCAGCATATCCTAAGTAGACAGATGTACTACAAACAAGGTGTACTTCTGACATGACCTAACAGCTGCAGTTAGGACTGTAATATATTTTAACTAAAATAATAGTTAACAATCATTTAAAATACATTCCAAAATATGAGAGTGAATCATACAAGACATTTTCGAAGATTTTTCACAAAAACCGTACTGGACACGATGGTTTCGCGACTTTCTGTTCACAAAAATTGACTGGTGCCAAACCAGGCAAATAGAAACCCATGCAAACATATGTGCAAACAAAAAACGAAATGATACCACTCACTCTTCCCATATTGAACAGCAAATCTTTAGCCTGAAATAGAGAGAAAGTGACCTATAGGTGGCATTAAACTGGGCATCAACGATACAAAGCCATCCTGAAAAAGAAATAATGTTCTGCTACTGATCAAGTAATGTTTCACAAAAAAAAAATCACCAGTAAATTCTAAACAAATACTCATTACCCATCTATTGCTGTATACCTATTTCAGTTTATTTTTTCAAACCTACAAGTCTTCAAGCAGCTCTAGCCACAAATCTCTCCCACATCTCAAATTTTACACAAAATATAAATAATATTGATCATTAACAAGTCCCACTAAAGCAAACGACAAACCACTGACACAAAAATAGAAGAAAAACAGCTGTCTGAAACTGTTTCAATTGCTCAGGCAATTAACACGTCTGTTTCAGTACATTCGTGCGTCACCTCTAGAATACACATTACTTTGAAATGACTTTGCCGTCTAATTGATATTTCATATTCTGTCTTGATGAGGGAAATGTTATAATTTATTATTCATGCATAAGTAAAAGAAATTTGCACAAAAAAGAAAAAGAACTACATAGAAATCTCGCTCTATTCACTTAGTTCCTATTACCACCACTTTTTCTCTTACTCACGGTCTTTGAAAAGGAATTAGTTACCGAATTTATGCAAAATATGGGAGATATAAATTAAATTGGTGGATTATATGCTATGTCCCTTGGCCAATTAACTTTACAGAAAGGGAAAGGTAGTACGAAGGTTCCTGGGGTTTTAAGGGTATCAAATGGAACTTTTTGTAGCTTAAAAAAAAGAGATATACAAACAACAAAAAAGTAATTCCGAAAAAGTCATCCCGTTCAACATACAAGTGGTAATCTAAGAAAACAGGAACATTATATAGAAGAACGGTAGAAGATATATTACAGGTACTATTTACTGAAGTTACTTGCGAAGGGGTTATCCTATACGTCAGACCTCGTGATCATAACCCCTGCTACGTCATCCTAACTAATTCATTCACTTAGGCAGAGAACAGAAACATCATTTAACGCAGCCATCGGACACACGACTGGAAAACATAAAGGTCATTACAATTTGCGGATGTAATGTCCACAGTTAATTGAGTATACGAAGTTAATGATATGTCGGGGTGATTCATCAACTTCTTCCTCTTCCATTCGTTCTACTCGTTATTTAATCACCCAATGTTGCGTTATCCTCCTCATCACTCTATTGTCATTCTCAAAATGTTTACGCATATATTAATTTACAATTGTCATCTTTCACATGTCTTTGGTGTCATAGCCCTGCAATGTGTAACACTTTCGTTACAGTATATGCTTACAGAAACACGCACGTGGTTTTCCTTGCTTCTTAACTTCGACAACTTATAATATCAAGGTGAGAGAGGAGGAAGAAGAAATTGTATTGCAAATAACAGGGATTCTCCACGGTCTCATTCGCAGTGATTGCTCTTATCGTACTATATCCTGCAGTGATTGAATTTATATCCCGCGTTATCTTATCGTATATATCCCACGGTGATTACGCTTATCGTACTGCATCTGTTGAAATTGGGCATCAGATTAAATTTTACTTATGCAATAAAAAGGAAAGGTGGCAAAATCGGCCAGCAAATCGTTTTTGTCCACATTGCATTTAGTTCCTTTCTATATCTAACAAAAGATTGCATAACTGAGTCTAAGATGTGTCCATGTCCATCTAAGATGTATCCAGAAGAGATAAGCAACTTAGAAAGGTAATCTCTTCTCAATGAATTAGTTGCATTGGCATAATGTAATTACTGCGTTCAAATCCGAATTTACTATCATATTTTTGATAACTCTTAAACAGTCAATGAAACGGCGATGAAAGCAGTTGTGGTGTTTTTAGTACACGTGTGGGAAGGTAAGTTGCAAATGTTTTACAAAGGTAAGTTGCAAATATTTCACGAGGATTCTTGCCACGCGCGGGTTTTATTCAAAGTATTACTATATATATGAACTGTTAACGAATAATTCGAGTGTATCACCACTCAATGGTTTACTAGCTGGATTGATAGTCATTGGTGGTCGATTATCATAAAGCACCGGCGATTGGAGAAGAATGATCAGGGTACCACATACATTGATCACACTGAAAATCATCAGCATCAATCGATCTAGTACCATTGATATGTAGCACCAGTCCTCCGACACCTGCATTTTTACCGAATTTGAAAACTTGTTAATCATCGAGACAAGTACAAAAGGAAAATGTATATATAAAATTTGAAATTAAAGAGCAACTTGCATGTACAGAATAAAAAGAAGACGCACTTGATCATCTTTCTTCATAGCTCGGAAATGGTCAGCAATAAACGATACATTATCGATCATGCGACGAATTAAATCTGGATGCATCCCACGAAGTTGTGCTAGCTGAGACAGTCGCATTTGACCGTCGATTAGATTGCTGATCGATAAGAAATAAGGACTTGCTCGACGAGATGTTAAAGATGATAATAAATCTACAATGCAAATGTTTTTGATATTCCCTTTGATTAGAAGAGACAAAAGCATATTACAGCTTCTGAGGAATTTATTATTGCGAAGTTCGGAAATTTATTTTCTGCATGAAATCCCTCAAGAAGTTACAAAAGATTGCTAATGTAGACATTATGGTGTGATAGATATTATTTTGTACATGGCTTATTTTCAAATTTTGAGTTTTATTAAATGGAAAGAGCCAATTCAAACACTTCCAATAGTCCTTTAACCGAACTTTCATTTGTGACTTAATTGGCTTCGAGTCGAAAGAATCTAAAACTTTTTTAAGTAACCTGGCTTACCTGATGATCTATTGCTGCTTTCCTCGGAAGTATCATCCTCTGGTGGCTTGATGAACAAATATTTGGGTAGTATTTTCAAAAATATGTGACGCATCCATTTCGGCATGGGATGAGTGGTACCACCTCTGGAAGGAACGAATTCTGAATTCAGTTTCCTGAATTAGCTTTTCCAACAGAAATATTGGACAAAAGGACGTATTATGATTAAATACACCATTAAAATAAGTCAAAGAAGGATGTGTATATAATGATATTTGTTGCGAACTCACATTACAGAAATAAAAAGAACCTGAAACCTGTGTTTTACCTATCATAATTTATTGTAAGAGTTTCAGGGAACGAAAGATTGATTGTAAATGTTATTTAAAAATGTCAAAATTGACTGAATATTGTGTCAAGTATTGTGTAAATCTCTTTTTTACGTTATTGTTGGCTACTTTTATAGGTTTAAGATGTACTCAGCATACTTTGATTAATAGTCATAATTGCTATGATAAGATGACGAAAAGGTTATAGTGAGAATAAGGCACGAGAGAAAAACAATAAATACGGGTTTGAAGAGAATATCGCAAGAAGCTGTTTACAATGGCAGGATGCAAATAAAAAAGATATTTACGTGAAAACCGATTTTATTTTTGATGGGACGTCATTTTGATGATAACTGAATATGGCATAAACGGAAGATTGTTTCGGATGAATAATAATGCCATCAACGATGAAGAGCAAAACAGAACCAAGATGAAGAGAATTAAAATGGATGTGTTTAAAGTAAGCTAGTAAGCTAGTAAGGTTTATTCTAATATTTCTTATTTGAATTTACCTGATCTTTCTCAACCGAAAAGTAGCGTGGACCTTCTATGTTGGATATATTAGGTAACTGTGCAAAGAATGCAACTTACCCTTACTTTTCAATTGTGTACTGTAGTAGAAAGTGACACAAAACTAGTTGATATACAAATGGAGCCTTGAAAAAATAGACTTCCCAATCATTTTAATAATTGGAAGTTTATATGCCTCAGTCATTGATTGTTGTTAAACACTTTTCATCTTTTGTGAACTACAGTCCCATTGTATCTTTCTACACGTATAATTAAATTTCAAAACAGGGAATAGATAAAAATAACATACCGGCGGTAGTAGCTTACAGTTAGTACGGATAAGAGGATAGATGCGGAAACAAGAAACATGGTAAATAAAAGATATTTTCCAATCATTGGTATCACCATTGATGTTGGAGGAATGAGATCAATGAGGACCAAGTAGAACACAGTTAAGGTAACCAGTACTGCTATCGAAAATGAAACTTTGTGTTCAATACCAGGAATGTAGAAAACGAAAGTGGTCAAAATTGCTGAAACAGAATGAAATAGACAACATACTTATTATGATATTCTAATACTCCATCTTAATGTTGTTTCTCATTCTATAAAAAAAAATTCTTGCTCTCTCTACACTCAGCAATATTAACAAATTATTAAACAGAATTAAAATGAGATCTACCTATCAGCATGCATGGAATGACCAGGTTGACAGTGTAAAAAAGTGTTTTACGACGTATTGATAGATTGAAGGTAATATCGATATAGAATTCCTGTCCACAACAACCGGGATACAGGCGTTCGTGTCGTCGACTTGTTAAACTTATCAGATCCCACTCACGACTCCTGAAATAAGATTATATTTAAAAAAATTTTTTATGCATGAAGTATTAAGCAGAAATTTTAACAGGTTTAAAAACCGATCGAACAGCACATAAAAATAGCACATGGGAAAGTAGAGAACTTACGGATAATAAGATGATAAATCCATCCCCTGTTCCAGAAACTGATATTCTTTTCCATTTTCATCGTATTGTGTCTCGATATTATCGGTCGGATTAGTCTTGAAAAACTTATGTTCAAAAAATAGGCCCCCACAAAAGTGGCTGATACTTTCAGGATTTTAACTGTTTATGTGAACTTTACTTGTGCCTTCAATGATCGATCGCTTGATGTTATCTCATTCTTTTACATTTTTCTTCAAACTTTATTGACATACTGATTTAGTGATCGAATCCCTGAATTAATATTTTATAATTTTTTTTATTTATTGAAATCTCCAAAATTTACCGGTAATTGTCGAACATCAATTTGGAAACCGTTGTAAGACCAGCCACCAAATTTCATTGAACATGATTGCTTATCATATGGAAAATATTCGATATCTATCTTAAAACAAAAAAGAATTTGCGTTTTGACAGTTAAAGTTTCAAGAAACTACGAAATAAAACTTGAAAAGATTTGAATATAAAGTTTGAAGTCTTTCCAGTAATTTAGCTCTTAATTTATCTAAAAGCGGTTAAATTTTAAATGTTTGAACCAATATTCTACGAGCAGCAACAATCTTTTGTACATCATGGAAACATCTGAAGATTCCAATAGAAATCAGAAACAAATACGAATGTCAAGGAGAGGTATTTGTAAATTTAATAAATTAGCATCGCATAACCATAGGTATAAAGCCTACAGGACAAAATGATTTATAAATGCTCGGTGGTTTCCAAACCACAGCACCGGTATAGTAAACTAAAGCATCACTCATGATCGTTATGTGCGGTTCGCCATCTGCACTGAAATGAAACAAAGATTCGATTTCATTTTGTATTTTACAGTATAAAAGAGCAAGGTAGAACTTCCCCCGTTTAGAAGAGGGCTAGCAATATCCACTGTAAGTTGTTAATGGACTATTACCAGTGAGTGGTTTCAAATTTCAACTATTTTACTTGTTATACAACAGGATATCTGGAATCCATATCTGATCTGATGGAACATGAAGTTTTCGAATATTATTCCATTTTTCCGGATCCCACGTTAGCTTGTAATCATTCCATTGCTATAAGTAGACAAAACTGGGATCAAATTTTGTTTAAGATCAAGACCAAATACCTGGAAGTCCAACAGCAATTTTTCAAAACGTATTTAATTCAACATTAATATTAATTTAAAAAAAAAAACCAATTTCGAGCCATAAATTGGTGGTAAGCACTTGATTCACTTCATCCTGAAAGCAAATTTGTGCCAATATAAAATCAAATGTAAATGGCTACTGAAGTAGAGTTTTTAAATGATTTAAATGATATGACTTTTGACAGGCTATCTTTTCATCCATACTTTCTGAGAATTTACAATGATTTTGTAAAAATTATCTCGAAAAAAATTTCTTTTACAGTCGCAATAAATGGAAAAAATCAAATGCAATCGATCATTTAGAATTTCTCCCCTCAAAATTGCCAGCAAAATAAATTGGAATATTTTAAATTCTGGAAAAGTATTATCAACTGACCTAAATTAAAATGTCATTCTTTATTTTTAGTTCGTTTTTTTAGGAATCGGGGGTATATGGATCAATGAAGAAGAGATATCCTTCCGTAACGGTGCAAATATGCAGAGTTGCTCCGACACAGTGCCCCAGTATATCGGGAATAGATAAAAATAGTTGGTTTAATTGACAACATGATCACTGCCAACCGATCATCTCTTTAGCTTCTTACCTCCCAGATTCGCTCCCATAAAACTTCGTACAATTAATTGTCTATTTTAAATTTAACAATAATGGTTTATTGTCAAGCTTACTTGATGCTTTGCAAATAACGAAAGTTAATGTCTGAAGAGAGAAAAGGTAGCAAACCTTAGTGCCGTGCAATAATAAAATGATAATTTAAAAAATTCATATCGAAATTAATTTCAGGAAAATGGCTACTGAAAATTATTTTTACTATTTGGCGGTAGGTACGACAATATTCGGTTCGATGACAGTTGTTATATTACTATTTGCTATTCCAACAATTTATTGGAAGGCAGGACAAGAGCGTTCATATGCTATAACAAAATCAGCTAGTTTCAAGGTATAAAATTAGAAACGCTTAAAAAATATTTTAAAAAATTTTTTAAAAAATATTTTGGAGAAAAAATATTTTGGAGATTTGAAATTTCTACAAATTTGTATCAAACAATTTGTGACACGCTGATGCTTTTTCTAAAAACCTTTTCCTTCTTCCACTACTTTCTCTGAAGTATGATCACCCATCCTCTGTTCTTTCAGGAAAAATCGGATAGAATATGGGCAGAAATGAAATCGGTACGTGAGGAAGTCGGGGTAGCTGTGGTTCTTCGACAGCGTCGTTCACAACTGTACATTTCTAGCGGTAGTAAACAGGTGCTATGCTCAGGTTGCATACAAATCGGGTTAGTCTCTGACAGTCATATTTAATTATATAGCTTCTTTCAAAATCCCTTTACCCAAAAATATTTCGAAAAAGTGACGACGAAAAAGGTGGCAAACGACATCATCACAGATTGGAAGAAGACGATGATCCATTATATGCATTGAATCGGGAAGCTTTAGTGATTTGGCTCCATATTAGACACTTCTCCCGCTGAGTTTGATATCGTGCAACGATTCTTTGCAATTTAAATCTTATAAACCGAGTTTCTTTTTTTTTTTAAGAAAATTGGTACCGACTCAAAAAGTGCTAATTAGTCTTAGAAATATAACACTGAATAAGTGTAAAGTTTTAGATGCCCTATAGGCCCACCTGGCCTGAACGGACCTCCTGGTGAGGATGGAATACCGGGAATGGCGGGTAATCCAGGATTAGCAGGCGATGATGGTTATGATGTAGAGCTTACACCGGAGGAAGAGTTACCATGTGCAATTTGTCCTGCTGGGCCTCCCGGACAGAGGTATCATTATCCAGTTTACACTTTTTTGCATAAAACTTTTTTATGAAGATTGCAACTGTAAGAAAGTTCTTTCTCGGTGTGATCTGTACGATCAAACAAATTACAAAGATTATTAAAATTTGACAAATCGTCGAAGCATGTTCATTCCGATGATATTTTTAATGCTTCTTTCTCTTTTTCTAATTGCACTCTATTTTAGAGGACTGCAAGGCGAACGTGGACAGCTTGGAGAACCTGGTCGGCCTGGGGAACCAGGCCCACCTGGTGTGCCAGGGGAACATGGACCGGTAGGCGAGCCTGGTCTACCGGGATCACCCGGTCTCAAAGGTCCAATCGGCCTTCAAGGACCATCTGGGGAGACAGTCATATCTGGTACTGGAATTAAAGGACCAAAAGGACCACTCGGTCCTCCTGGACCAAAAGGAGCTACTGGGCCGCGAGGCAAACTGGCTAAGGAATCTGGTTTTGCCGGAAAACCGGGTAGTATTGGTCCTTTTGGATCGCCGGGACGACAAGGAAAAAAGGAGAAGAAGGACCATGGGGACCACCTGGGGAACCAGGTTTGTTGACTTTTTTCTTCTCAAATTTTTGAAGTCCCAAGGATAATGAGGCATCATTTTGATTTCATGTTTTCATGCATTCCGGAAGAGCTTAAAGATTGATGTGGATTTTCAGGCCAGCCGGCAACGTATTGCCCATCGGACTGTGGTGTATCACAGATATTCGCAGCATCACTATCTAACGACTTTTTGCCAGCGATGAAAGAATAAGAACAGGCAAACAAATCCGGATTTCAGATTTTTTTAAGTGTATTAAAGAGCCAAGCAAGGTAGTGGCAAGGTATATTTCATTCTTGTCACTTTATCTTCTTGGCTTTGTTCGAAACTATGCAGCTCTTTCGTATGAAATTTGTTGACGGTGAACAAAAAAAAAGATTTGAAAAAAGCTTGGCAAATTTCTGTAAAAAGCATAACAACATTTAAGTTATCCCAAGAACTGTTCCTCAAATTATCATTCTACAGTTACAAAAACTAACCACATCGATAATTCGAATCAATGAAGCACCAAATTTAACTTGTACAGCATTGCTTGCATTCCGTACAGGTCTTACACTTTTGTTGTAGAAATACAATAAATCCTCATACAATTGGTCTGCGTAACGATTACTTGACAAATCACATACTGAAATGGTTGGAAAAGTAACAGAGAACATTTTTTGAAAATGATTTGCCCTGAAGTTCAAATGTTTTGAGTTATTTGACGAAAACTGGATGAGATTCGTTGTATTGTATTAGAATTATCACTGGATGGTAACCAGTAGCTGAACAGAAAAACTGATAATAAAACTAGACTTCCAATTCTTACCATGAAGTACTACAGTAATGAACTGCAGTAATGGTGCTGCATTCATGGTGAAAGGTCGTAAAGCCGTAATACTGACATTACTGGCCAAACGTTATGTCGTCCAGTAAAGTTGGTCAAATTGACCGACAATGTTCGGACTTAAACTCTGGTCTGTCTTAAAATCAAATTTGAAGTCAGTTCTCAATTTAGAGTGCACGCGTTTTCCGATGCTGGAGAACAATGAAGTGTGGATAACTGCGATCGATTGATGGGAATCACTGTTCTTAACAACTGCACAAAACTGCCAGAACAACTGCCACCTGCTGCCACCACTACTACTTTATTTTCCCAGTAGATTTCAACGATACATTCCTACAACTAGATATATGTTTATCACAGAATAAAAACTTCAAGCCTGCTACTAAGAAAAAAAAAGCCGTCCAGTTGGATATTGAAATTTTATTGGGGAAACTGAGGAGTATTATGTAAAACCAATGAGAACTTATACTTGGATCAACGTATGTTAGCCATTTGGGCTCAGAAATTTGTAATGCAAATTTCTCTTCTCCCATCAAAAGTCTCTTATTAAGGAATGTGTGGAAATATTGCTAAGATAAATCCATCTTCCCTCTTTAAAGTCTTTTCTCATTGAAAATGCAGCAATACAAATTCACTTTTCAATCAGTGAATTTTGTTTTAGAATTCTATTAAATTGGATAATTCATACAAAATTCGTGCTTTTTATATACTGCTGTTATCCCTGTCACTACTAACTACTTCCACAATAACAACTACTTCTATTACGCTGTATCTTATCAGGCTACTTCGAGATTAAAAAGAATGAGCGAAGAAGTAATTTCTCCTCCAAAAAAATCTAACTTTTGTTTGCTTTCTCATTCACAACTACTTCAATTTTTTATCCTGAAAAATCTAGTCTAGTCTAGATTTCCCTCATCTTTACTGGCTCGGTTTCTCCTTCATCTGTTTTTGTTGTTGTTCAATAAAAAACTTGTGTTGAAAATTCGAAATACTTGCACGACTGCTGCGTCAGCAATTCAAATTATCTTAATATAAAAATGACTAAGAGCTGATCGACCATTTAATTAGTGTTTGGTCCAGCGATCATTATTTTACAATAGCATATAAAGAATCTTCCCCAGCCCTACAAGTAAACCAATATCCAATTCCAATTCTACGTTATTATCATGATAACCTTCTTCATGTTGCTATCCTTGCTTATGATAATAAGCAGAGTGTACCGTTGGAAAATCCAGAACTGATCTCTCTTGACCAGAGTAACAATGTGAACACGATATCTTGGAGAGCTCTACGAATCAAACGACAATTTGGTGAATGTGGCCAGCATTGCTGTTGCACGACGTACGTTACTATTGCCTCACTCAAATAAGAAAAATTTTTATCAGTAACATTTCGTAACAAAGGCTGTTATTAAATTAGACCAGAAATCTCGACTACTTTCTCTACCTAAATTCATCTGATCAAATTCATTCAGACTCTAATATCCAGCTTACAGTTACGAAGTTGAAGATTGCTAGAGAGCTAGCATAAGCAAGGGATTTCCAAATTTAAATAAATTGACCTGTTTTCAGATCCAGGTGAAGAAATAAAGATTTAATTGATGAAAGCAACAGAATACAACTGCTCGTTGATAAAGCCTGACCCTTGAGTTGAAGTTTTTAGGCTTTGCTGCTGTACCCAGCGTTTTTCATCAGCTCCAGCAACTTTGCCACCAACACACCTGCCCATAGCACCTCTTTGTTGTCAAATAAGCCAGAGCATATGCTGTCAGCGACAGCCACTAGTCATTCAACCACCGCCACTATGTTGTATCCAAACAAGCCCAGTATTGGTACCACAGCAGCCGATACTTGCACCACTACCATTTTCGGCGGTTGGACAAAAAGCGGCAATACAATTACCGCCACAGATATTCTTACCGCCACAGGTTGGCAAGCCACAGTGCTGTAGCTGCTGTCCATGCTTTGGTAACGGACGAAAACGGCGTTCTCCGTTTTTCATTCTACATAAATGGGTGAATCGAAGTAAGCTATCTAATAATCAATATCAAATAGAAGCAACAGCTTAAATAAATTATAAATTTAGAAAGCGCTAACACTGAGAAATTGAATTCTGTGAAAAAAGAAAAGTGGAATGAAATAGTATCCATTGATTGTTTCATATTATATGTTAAATTTCCTCTTATAATCTTAAACTTCTATGATTTGCTAACATACACTCTTTCAGCAAAGCGAATTCTTCAACAAACTAAAAGATTACCAACGGCGAATGTCCCATTGTCCATTCATACTTGACATTATACTTGTAATTTTTAACCTTTAAAAATATTTGCATTTATTGTCGGGCAAAGATTTTGTAGTTTATTTTTTTGTGGTTTTAACTCCATTGCATTGATATTAGCCTTTTATACGATGTGGTACAATATCGCACTGAAACAATAACAAGGATGAAATGAACAATACACAATAAGTATTGAAGGATACTGAACGGTCTTATCCTTCATCCTGTTGAACTATCGTATTCCGCTTCTCTGCTGTTGTCAAATTGAGTATCTGACTATATGTCGTCTTTAATGATTCTCCGAGCTGGCGATTGAGTGATTGCTGCAGGAGCTGTCGGATTGAGCGAGTAACCACGAGTTTTTTCGGATTTGTTTACTGCCCATCAGGATAACTAATTCCAGCTCCTTATATAATGGAATTTCAGACACATTGGCTTAACTACCAGACTAGAGGTTCTCTACAATGTTCAAACATTTATACATAAGTTCTTTGCCCAATTCCGACAAAAGTTTGATTAATAGATT